TGTTTGACCATCCCTTAGGCTATTAACTCGTGCAGTTAATTCTGTTTGAGCATCTTTTATGCTTTTCATCATATCCATCATATTCCGAAACATGTCATTTTCCGGAACCTTCTCTTTTAGATCCAGGATTGTCTGATCCTTGTCGGAATCCATCTCGTCTTCTGACTGATCTCGACTGTTTGGCGTCGGTGTAGAAGTACCAGCCATTTCGCTCGAATCAAATCCCAATTTTTTCTTGCTGCGCAAATTCATTACTGAATTTCACCAGAATTGCTAATATTTCGCAATTCTAACTGCGCACTTTGACGGTCTACTATTACAAATTTAATAAAGATGTTGCCACTCCGTGTGGCAAAAGACAACACCAAATAGAATATTCATTTAAACTATGCTTTTAGTTTATTTTAGAACAAATTATAAAGTCTAATCGCAAGTTTTAAACAGAAATGAAGATACATTTATTAAATTGTGTTGTCGCGCCGTCTTCTTTACACAAACTGCAACTCGGTGATGGGCGACGCGATCTCGTGATAAGGCATAAATATCGAATGCGGGCTGATAAGTTAAAGGGTGAATGGCGATAAATTTATATGGATTTTAATGAACTAGCAACACTATTATTATTACTATTAACTTCTGCAAGGGTATATAAGCTTCGGCTGGCTGAAGCTAGCTTCCTTTCTTATTTTATATTTCATTTTAATTGTCGAGTTCCTTTAAAGAAGATGTAACAGTTTGAGTAACTTATGTATATTTTAATATGGAGCAACTTATGTACATACCAGTAGTTATACATTCTCGTAAGTCATAGAAAGTTAGTTAGAGTTGAGTTCGATTCGAAATTCCGTTTCCAGTTCACAGTTCGCTGGAAGAACTCGCCGGCAGGAATCGTTTAAGCCATTCCACAAGAATTAAACCGTTTTGCTCCAAATCTTTTGGCCAAACAAATCACAGCTGAGCACACAGGGCTGCGGAGCAGGAAATGGGGATCGGGGGAACATGCATAACAGGAGCAGCATCGTTATATCGATGGCATTCACATGTTTAGCACACAAACGAAATGCCAGAGCAAAAATATGCATACAAATCTATCTGTGCGCATTGGATAGCCAAAATCGAGTCCAGTTTCGGGGGATTCCCGGTCGGCGGAGGGGTTAGGCACTCGGGCCGGGCCGGAGTCCTGAACTCGAATCTGAATCTGATTCTGAATCTGTCGACTGCTCCACATTTTGTTGTGCATGGCAAACATTGCGACGGAGTGTGTGATGTGATGTGTGGTATATCGTACATTGTCTATATGGGTCTCGGACCACTCCTTCCCGGGTCCTCGATTCCCCGACTCACCGCTCACATGGCCGCTGTCCCAATCAATTGTCCAAATGTCCAAACTTCATTTGTTATGCGCATCACAAAAATTGAAGCAAATCATTTTGCCAATCGCATTTTGATTTCAAATGTCGCTTGCTGCTGATTGAGTGGCAAGCGGTGGGTTGTGTGTGGTGGGTGGTGGGCGGCTCAGGCTTAGAATGGGGATGATGGGTCAGCCGCCCCACAGTTTATGCTAATTCCTGTGTATATTTGCCGCCAGCGCCGCCTGAAATTATGCAATGTCTTTATTAATTTATCTCAAAACCAAATGGGATCGACATTCACACATACCGAACACAGCGATGAAAACGTGACACGTCAATAAAGTAAAAATAGTTAAATGGTGAATTATTTACTAGTTTTAAATCAAGCATAAAATTTTCCGACAAGTAGACATTTTTGCTTTATATTTAAATTTTAAGGACTTAAGAACTACAAAAGTAACTGTTAGTTTTGTCCCTGATTTGATATGCTAACTTCTCGAATATTTTTTCACTCAAAAATGGGTCCTTAAATTTATAAACAAATAAAAAGTTATGAAATAATAATAATAATATTTCTATTTTCTAAGCTCCATTAGTAATATAATAAATTATGGAATACCGATTCAATAATTTTTTGATCAGATAGAGTATTTAGCCAATATAAGATCAAGTAATTGCAATAAAACGTTGTTCACGTTACCATCTCTATATTCCACAGAGGCCTGCGGAGGATTTATTTTCGTCAGGGCCTTTCATTTTGGTCCCGGCTATTTATGCAGTGTTTAACTTGGCCCGCGGCTCCTGCTCCTCCAGCTCCCATTTCCTGGTCCTGCCCAATCCGCCCTTCACTTCTTGTGGGCGACACATTGCCGCGAGGGCGTGGCACTTTCACGCCCCAGTCGCGTAACTCATTTTCGCTCGCCAGACGAGCAAGAAATGTGCAAGGAAATGGGGAAAAAGGGAAAGAAAGTTTCTTTTGCCGCCACTTGGCACATTCTTAATTTCTTGCGTATTTTGTCAAGACAAATTGAATTTTTATGAGCGCCGCCGTCGCCGACGTCTTTTGCGAAAAGCAAAAGAAATCGCAAAAGTCGCCGACGACGCAGCAGAAACTTTAAACTTTTCTCATTATACCCTTGTAGAGGGTATTATAATTTCAGTCAGATGTTTGCAACGCAGTGAAGGAGACGTTTCCGACCACATAAAGTATATATATTCTTGATCAGCACCAATAGCCGAGTCTATCTAGCCATGTCCGTCTGTCCGTCTGTCCGTCTGTCCGTCTGTCCGTCTGTCCGTTTCTATGCGAACTAGTCTCTCAGTTTTAAAGCTATCGCGATGAAACTTTCCCGAAGGTCTTCTTTCTATTGCAGGTAGTACATATGTCGGAGCCAGCCGGATCGGACCACTATATCTTAAGGCTCCCAATCAAATATAAGAAAATTTATTGTAACTTTGTAGGAAGTAGGCGTTTTGATTCTTGACTACTTAAAAACAAAATTGAAATAAATCGAAACGCTGAATCTGGAATCCCTGGAACTGCACCGAGTGAGTATTCTTTTATCTACAAGGGTATATAAGCTTCGGCTGGCCGAAGGTAGCTTCCTTTCTTGTCTTGTGAAATTCATTTTATCACAAGTAATTACTTTGTTAATATCCGGAGGAGCGGGACCAGCTGCAGGCAGCACCTGCTGTCTGTTTGGCCATTTAAAGGGGAATAAATGGGTATGAACCTTAAGGTTTCAGTGGCGATCTCTGGATCCCAACTACATCCACTAAACAAGAATAAAAAGACATTTGAGTGCGCTTTCGAGCAGCTTACAGCATGTTTAATGCAACTCGCCATTGGGTCCGTCAAACCGCGGCAATGATTTGCACGTAGAAAACATAAAAGATGGTCTTAGTGGGTAAACGTCGAAAGCAGAAGCGATGGCCCGTGGGCGCCGGTGCTGCTGGGCATCCTGCATCCAGCTTAGTCGAACAGGCCGAAGCCCATGTCATCGTCCTCCTCCTCGGACTCGGACTCGACCTTCTTGGCCTCCTCCTTCTTGTCGGCAGCTCCGCCGGCGGCGGGGGCAGCGGTGGCGGCAGCGGCCGCGAACTTGCTGGGGTCCTTGATGTACTCCTTGATGGTGGTGGCCTCCTTGAACTCCACCTCGGTGGTGGCAGCAATGGCCAGCAGGTTCTTGAATCCGTTGGCAATGCTGTGTGGGGCCGAGGCGATGGTCGGGTAGCCCACGGACAAACAGACGGCGGCCAGGTTGGCCACTCCCTGCTGGAACTTGGCGCGCAGATCCTCGGGCTTGATGTCCAGGATCTCGGGCGAGAAGATCGAGCCGGAGTCGTACACCTGGTTGACGATCAGACCGTACGAGAAGGGCGAGATGTTCAGCATGTTGAGCAGCGTGGCCTCGGAGGCGCCGACCTTGTCGCCGGGCTTCAAGATGGGCACGTCGTTGATGATTTCAATTGTTCCCTTGGAGATCTTGGTCGGGATGGACAGGGCCTGGAAGAAGCTGGTCTTCTCGGGTCCCAGGCCAGTGTTCTGGGCCGGGATGATGACGTGCAGCGGGGCAATGGCGCCGGGACGGGCGGGGGCGCGCACCTTGGACTCCAGCAGCTTGTCGCGCACCTCGGCGAGATCGCCCTTGGTGAACACGAAGCCCACGTTGCCCTTGATGTGGGGCAGCAGCTTCTCCAGCTGCGGGTTGTTCTCCAGATGCCCGCGGATGGCCTTGCGCATCATGGTGTTCTTGCCCATCAGCACGACGGCCAGACCACGCAGGCTGGTACGGATGTTCTGCATCTGCTTGGAGCCCACGTTGTCAGCGCCCACGATGAAGCACTTGGGGAACTCGTCGAAGAGTTCCTGCGGAATAGATTACCTTCGATTAGTTGGGCGACCCTAGGGCGTGGCGGGGGCGGTACTTACCACAACCTTGATGAAGTACTGAGCCTTCCATGCTGCCTTGTTCTCCCTAACCATTTTGAATGTGTATTAGGGACTCGTCGGGTGAATTTAAGAACTGCAAGAGACAACATTTCGATTAGCCGTTACCAGGGGACATCAATGGAGTAGTTAAAATGCCGAATTCGCTTGGGATGCAGCAGTTTTTCGGATTTTTAGCAGCACTTACCAAAGCACAGACTTTTCGGTTTTCGCTCACAGAACGGAAAGAGGGAAGTTGGCGGCGGTCACAACTGACCACACAGCGTGCTGTTGCTAACAGTGTGCTGTTAGGCGCACTACCGCGGTGCTGTAATGCGCACTGTCAAGGTGATAATAGGCTATTTACACTAAAGTTTTTTCTTACGAATTTAGTCAGCCAGACTAAAGTTAAATAGGCTTTAATTTTGTTATTTGTGGTTAAAGTTTATCAAAAATAAATTTAAAATATGAGAAAACCGATTGTACCTACTTTTTCCCGTCTCTTTTAGCATGTGGTCTTCTTATTGAAGAAAAATTTGCTGAAGCAGGGTGAACAGGGTGATTACAAATTAAAGGCATCTATTTATTATACTACTAAATTGCAAGAGTTATTTACTATACTGAATTTTAATACATTTAGTAATTAAACGATTCGAGGAATAACCTAAATGCCCGCTCAGCTGTGGTAATCAATAATTAATCGATTGGCTGCGATAGGAACGGTTAATTTCAGCTTGTTGTGTTGTTTTCAATCAGCGAATAGAATCTCTAAAGCTCCGGTCCCCCCTCATCAACAAGCGAAGACCGCTGCTGAGCCGACCTAAGATCTTAACCGAAACAAGGAGAACCCAATTTCATCACAATGGGCAAGGATTACTACAAGATTCTGGGCATAGAGAGAAATGCCTCCGGTGAAGACGTGAAGAAGGGCTACCGGCGAATGGCGCTCCGTTACCATCCCGACAAGAACGACCATCCGCAGGCCGAGGAGCAATTCAAGGAGGTGGTGGCCGCCTTCGAAGTCCTCTCAGACAAGGAAAAGCGACAGATATACGACCAGTTCGGTGAAGAGGGCCTGCGAATCGGTGACGAGCCAACGACCTTTGCCCAGCCCACGTCCGACATGCTACCCTTTATGTGCGCCGTCGGGGGAACCGTGCTCTTCGCCTTTGCCGCCTACAAAACCTTCCAGTTCTTCACGCGGAAAAAGGAGCCGGCCACTAACAGCGATGGTTCGGGATCGGACTGAGTTTAGACTTGCTTATCTTGGCATCCACAGACTTTGTGAAAGAATCTTTTAAGAAAAATCGCTGTAATAGGTTTAAGATTCACTTATAGTGATTTATTTATTGACTGTTTGATCTGGTTTGAACCATGTAATGTTACATATTAGGTGCAACAGGATTTATAACAAATATTATTAATAAAAATAGAAAAAAAAATACATACATTCCTACAACAAGAATATTAATTTGTTTAACTGAATTGGATGCCTCAAAACAGCATCGTTTTTTATTATACTTATAATAATCGATTATAATCGAAACTTAAAGTAAAAATGTATATACTTAAGTAATTTTCTGAATTTTTTTTTACTTACTCGTAGAGTAAAAGGGTATATTAGATTCGTGCAAAAGTATGTAACAGCTAGAAGGAAGGGTTTCCGACCCCATAAAGTATATATATTCTTGATCAGGGGCACTAGCCGAGTCGATCTAGCCATGTCCGTCTATCCGTCTGTCCGTCTGTATGAACGCTGAGATCTCAGAAACTACAAAAGCTAGAAGATTGAGATTTCCCACACATATTCTTTGGCTTCCTACGCAGCGCAAGTTTATTTTAGCCGAGCGCCACGCCCCCTCTAACGCCCACAATCGCCCACTAACGATTTTAAAATGTTTAAAAATCTTTAAAGATTTCCGAGAAGTATAAATGCAATTTTGTTGTGTATATTTATACCTATCGAAATGTAAAAGTCATTTTTCACATCCAACCATTCATTAAAAAGTTATACGCAATCAAAATGTATATATCTATCTCCCTCGCACTATCCAGTACAGCACAGACACTATCTGTCCACCTATCAGCACTTGTTATTCATAATTTATAATTATACCCGTTACTCGTAGAGTAAAAGGGTATATTAGATTCGTGCAAAAGTATGTAACAGGTAGAAGGAAGCGTTTCCGACCCTATAAACTATATATGGGCACTTCCAAAATGTCGCTCGGGACATTTGCACACCTTTAAAGTTGAAAAAAAGTTGTAAAACAATGGATTTTAATTTTAATTATGGGCTTTTCTTTTCACTCTTCCCAAGCTCTATTTTTGGTAAAAATCTTAATTTTGTACCACTTTTAGTTTTTAAGATATCGGTAAAAAACTGCCGTATTCGCTCGGGACAAAAATAGAAGTGGATTTCGGGGAAGTTCATACAACACCAGAAATTAGCAAATTCTGATGGAATATTTGAATGCGATTTTTTTTAGAATGTTGTTCAAACATGTCGCTGTGAAATGCTTTTGGTTTCACTCAAAAATTCTTTGCCGTTTTTTTTTTTTATGCAGTTTCAACCACATTCGCTCGGGACATGTCGCTCGGGACATTTTTTCCGACTGTTTTGTAAAGCGGATTTCTTTACCTCTATCTCTCAATTGCTGGATGTTTTGCTTTTAACTTTATAGTTTAGCATGTGAATGAAGCATTCAGTACAGAAAAATGTCACATATTAGCATTCCAATAGGATAAATTAACAACAGAAGACAGGTCCAAAAAATAACAAAAAAATAGCCAAAAACTGATTTTTGCGTATATTGGTGGGGTTTGTCATAAAAATAATCAAACTATACTCCAAATTTGTAGTTAAGCTCAGTATCCAACTAATTAGAAACTAATATCGGGGCAAAATCATGTGGAAATATGTTTTATTCAAGTTTCAAGGTTTTTGGCTTGGTGGACTTTTTTTTGGAAGTGCCCATATATTCTTGATCAGGATCACTAGCCGAGTCGATCTAGCCATGTCCGTCCGTCTGTCTGTCCATCTGTCTGTCTGTATGAACGCTGAGATCTCGGAGACTATTAAAGCTAGAAGATTGACATTTTGCATGCAGATTCTGGGAGTTCCTACGCAGCGCAAGTTTGTTTTAAAAGGGTGCCACGCCCCCTCTAACGCCCACAATCGCTTATATACGATTTTAAAAATTTCAATATTTCGGAAAAGTAAAAATGCAGTTTTATTGTGTTTATGAATACCTATCAAAATGTAGAAGACATTTTTTAAATCGGACCATTCGTTAAAAAGTTACGGCGGATCAAAGTTATTATCTCCATCTCCTTCGCACTCCCTTTAGCTGAGTAACGGGTATCTGATAGTCGGGGCACCCGACTATAGCGTTCTCTCTTGTTTGATACTAGAATCTATAAGTACCGGTCAAACTTAAAAAGACTAAAAAAGTAACCACCGAAATTATTAGTTCGCTCTTACTTAAATATATTTTTTTAAGGATTTATTACAAAACGTTGTACAAAAAAAGGTAATTTACTACTTTTTCGGCGGTGCTACCCAGTCCAAAGTCGCTTTATAGGTTTTCTTTAACGGAGACACCAGATATGAACCAGTTTTGGATGCAGTCCAATTCCAGCTTGTACTTGCTACACTTGCAACAGAGTTTGCTGAAGCACTTACGGCCGGCTTTACAGTGTTCGTAAAAGATTTGGATGTCCAATTCCAACCAGTGGTTGCTCCTTTAACTGCAACTTTTGTAGTAGCCGTTATGGCGGGACTCACGGTACTGCTGACTCCGCCATAAGTGCTCTTCATTGCATTTTTGGCAGCAGAATAAAATCCAATTTCCTTTTTAGGTTCTGGTTTTGGTGGTGAAAATATATTATGTAGTAAGAAGTAGGGCACAAAAGCTGCGGCAATACATAATGGAGCCATACCTATGATTATTTTGTAAATTGGAACCACTTTTTGAGTCGTTGGTAAGTTCTCTGAAAGATTTGAAGTACTTGGAGGACTCGGGATAGATTCACCCACTGGTGCTGCTGTCTGTGCTTTGGAAGAAATGGGGTTAGATGGGGATCGTTTCTTGATTACTTCTGTAAGAGCCCTGGAAACTGAAGAAATGGCAGAGGAGCTTGAAGATCGCAGAGCAGAAGTCAAGTTAACTGGCCACATACTCGAAACCTTCGATGTGCCTTTCTCTATGACTTTGGTCGAACTTTTGGCAGCAGAAGACAGAACTGAACTGGAATTGTTAATTATAGCATTCATGGATGCCCTGTTTACTCTTGACAGATATGGGCTGGTTTTGGATCCAGTCCATTTCCAACCATTGCTTGCACCATTAACTACAGATGTCTTGAGGTTCGTTAGTGCCGGATTTACGGCGGCCGAGCCCCTTCCAATGGATCCTATGGTCCACTTCCAGTATTTGAGCAGTCCTGTGGCAGTTTTCTTAGTAATATCATTGGCAGCAGAGGAGCTTTTGGATTCAGTCCATTTCCAACCATTGCTTGCACCATTAACTACAGATGTCTTGAGGTTCGTTAGTGCCGGATTTACGGCGGCAGAGCCCCTTCCAATGGATCCTATGGTCCACTTCCAGTACTTGAGCAGTCCAGTGGCAGTTTTCTTAGTTATATCATTGGCAGCAGAGGAATATCCTGTGTGTGATCCCTTTTTCAATGTTTCAGCAACAACCGTTTTGGAAGCTGAAGATACTACGGCTTGTGAACTGTGGGCCAATGTTTTGGTCACTACTTCCGCAGCAGAATTCAGTGCAATTTGCGGTTGCGTTGGCAAAGATTTGGCAACAACACTGGCTGCCGAGCTTACAGAGGAACTGGAAATCGCAGAGGTTACCGCACGTGGTCCTTGGATTGCCGTTTTGGCGACGACTTCGGCAGCTGCAGATAAAGAGGAATATCCTGTGTGTGATGCCTTATTCAAGGCTTCAGCAACAACTGTTTTGGAAGCTGAAGATACTACGGCCTGTGAACCGTGGGCCAATGTTTTGGCCACTACTTCCGCAGCAGAATTCAATGCATTTTGGGGTTGCGTTGGCAAAGATTTGGCAACAACACTGGCTGCCGAGCTTACAGAGGAACTGGAAATCGCAGAGGTTACGGCTCGTGGTCCTTGGAGTGCCGTTTTGGCAACGACGTTGGCAGCCGAAGATAAAGACTCCTTTAGAGCCCTTGAAGACAGCCGAATATTGGATCCTGAAGCCAATTTGCCGAGTCCTAATATTCTCTTGGATCTCAAAGCGGCTAGCCAAGAGATCAATGTCCACAAGGAGGCGGGGTGCACCTCACTAAGTTCCTGGACGGCACTTTGCGGAATGATGGTCTCGGGAACTGGAACTGGAACTGCGATCGGTGGGGACGGAGGGGAACTTTGAAATATTCTGTAGCTAACATAGGCCCCCACGACCACGCCTCCTATAAATACAGCCACTCTGAGCTTTTCGTAGAAATACCCTGGACTCGATTCGGAGGGCATTGGAAACCATCGCCTAGTCAGTTCAACTAGTTGGCCAAACCCATTCACGATACCGACGGTTCCTACATTTGTTGGCTGTAAAGCGACGGAATCGTTGGAAGCACGATTTCTGGGCTCCTTCAGGAAGCTGTAAGCTTCGTAGATCCTACGGAACTGCTCCGTTCCCCTCCTGTTTTTATCGGGATGGAATTGCAGGGACAACCGGCGAAAAGCTTCTCTTATCTGATCCTCGGTGGCGTCCCTGGGCAATCCCAAAACGTCGTAGTGATCACTCATTCTTATCGTGCACATAAAAAGATACGTTCGTTAGATTATCTGGGAATATTTTACCACTCCATCAACATATGTATTTACCTTTTTCTGGATCGTGTGCTTTCGAAATAGTGGGAAGTCCCGAATTTGTATGTCCCTGTTGAAAATATCCAATCGATAAACCATTCAGGCCGATTACAAATACAGTCTGCTCATCAAATTCAATGCGCAATAATATTAATTCCGAATGCCGATGAAGCGGTGTCACTGTGAAGCGGTAAATTCGTATTATTTTATTTATATACATATACATATACAATGCACATGGGTGTTATCGGAACTTAAATGCAGAAGATATACTTGGCAACACTATTGTTGGATTTGGCAATGCCAACCTAGCTATTTTGCGTTAATTTGTAAAGCTTTTCTTAAATAAAAAAGTTTTTTTAATATAAAATATATATGTATATTGGGTGACAGATTAACAAAAATCCAAATTTTTTAAATAGCTCTAAAAGCCTGTATAAAATATATGGCGCTGAAAATCATATATTTTCCCACGCACCAAGTGGTGTGTGTACTTTCCGAGTAAATTAATTTAAAACAAGATTTTTACTTCAGCAACAAACTTTGTAAACTACTGTTAACTTTTAACAGTTTAACGTAAACGGTCTTTCCAAAAACGAAAATAACATTAGGGATGTGGAAAAAGCGATTGTCGTTGTAGCGATTTATTTGAATAAATAAAAATGGTATTTATTAGAAAAGGTCACACTGCAATGCACCAAAATTTCGCGGATGTAATGAGACGCAGAGCTCCCTGTTGTGTTCCCTGGAAATAAACAAACGAAGTGGTTCGAGGTTCGAGTGGTTGCCCTGCACGTGGATCCAGTGGAGGAGCCAGAGGAAGTCAACGTAAGCCCGCAGTTTCTATATCGGGGGATCACCGCCTCGTCAGATATTGGTGAGTTCGAGACCCGGATGCGATAAGGTGCTTTTGGGGGCGGGGGAGTGGGCTGATTACTGCGCATTACGTTGCTCGAACCACTCTAAAAGATCGTCTTTCGCAGAACAAACAACTAAGAAGCAAATATAAGCCATGTCGACAACGCAAAATTCCGCTGAGCAGGCGGATTTGACGCTCTTGGTGGGCAGCAACAATAACAATGGTGGCCGCAGCAGAAGTGGCGGTACTCCCAGGAAATGCGCCACCGCCGGAGCCCCCAGCTCCATCAGAATGTGCCCCGCCAGCAATACGAACAACAACAATCAGAGCAACAAGCAGCTAAACTCGATCTGCCAGCGGGCGCAGGCGGGCCACAAGCTGATGATCATCATGCGCGGACCTCCAGGCTGTGGAAAGACCACTCTGGCCGAATCCCTGCTGCGCCAGGCCCACCTGCTCGGCAGGCACCAGGTGCGCGACTTTGTCCTCAGCTCCGACGACTACTTCTGGACGCGCCACGGCTACGACTTCAATCCCACCCTGCTGCCAGCCGCCCACGAGTGGAACCAGCGGCGAGTGCGCGAGAAGGCCGCCTGCGGCTGGAGCCCCATCATTGTGGACAACACCAACACGATGGTGTGGGAGATGCAGCCCTACGTCCAGTCCGCCGTGAGGCATGGCTACGTCCTGGAGCTGCTCGAGCCGCAGACCAGTTGGAGCAAGTCGGCCAGCAAGCTGGCGCAGAAGAATGTCCACAACGTCCCGCGGGAGAGCATCCAGCGCATGCTGGAGCGCTACGAACGCACCACTGTGGGGGAGCTCATAAAGGTAGGATCAAGTCATTGTGACTCGGCTAAAAAGCTTATCGGAATGCCAGAGACTATAATATATTTTATATATATTTTCTCTTTTAATTTGTATGCTTCAGTTAGATTTTTAAAATGTTTTAATTATTATTACAAAAATATGTACTCATTAATTTTTCAAAGAAAGAAATTTTTTTCATATAAAGAAGTCAATAATTGACTAGAAATATTAATTAATAATTAGATTTAGATTACATTTCTAGATTTTTACAAATTTTTAATTAATATTACAAGAATTTATTATGTATTTTAACACAAAAAGATGTAAACTCATTCATTTTTAAAAGAAAGTAAACATCTCATAGAAACAATACAATAATTGACTAGAAACAGGACATAAAAACCCTGTGCGTATTAATTAATAATTAGATTTAAATTCGATTTCTAGATTTTTACAATTTTTTTTTATTATTATTACAAGATTTTATTATGTCATTAATTTTTCAAAGAAAGTAATTTTTCTCATATAAACAAGTCAAAAATTGACTAGAAACAGGATCTTAAAACCCTGTGCGTATTAATTAATAATTAAAAATGTAAATTTAAATTATAAAGATTTTCTAATGAAAAATGTAATCTCCAACAGTTGATGAAGGAGACAAAGTACACGGTGGACCTGCCTCAACTACGCCAGCGTCCGCCTCTACCTTCCGTCCCGGTCATTGCCACTTTTGAGGAGAACAAGCCAGCGGAAGCCCCAGTTCCAGCCCCACAACAACAAAACTTCAAGCTAAATGCCAATGCCCAAACGTGGGTGCCCTACGAACAGGGAGCGCCGTCGTACTGGTCCCAGCCAGCGGATTCTGCAGATCTAGGAGATTCTGCGGTTCCGGCAGAATTGGAAACTCCTGCTGCTGAAGTTTTGCCAAAGTGCGAAAAATCCCTGATTGAGCTTCTTCGCGACGAGAGCAAAACAGAGGAGGCAACTGCGAAAGCAGAGTCCAGTGAGACGAAAGCGTTTCAGAGGCATTGCCTAGACTGCCGAAATGAACCGGGAGGGTTTGCACTTTTGCGCCAAATGTATCCCAACAAGCAGCTGACGGGCCTCTGGGATCTGTTTGTCAAGTGCCAGGCCGACGTGGACTGGGCTGTCGATATTCTGCTAAAGGAGGACGAGCTAAACGCTGCCACGGGATCGGATCAGTTCGGATTGGAAGAAACCGTGAATAATGAGGAGGCGGCCCAGTTTCAATGCGACTGCGACAAGTCGTTGGTGGGCCAAGAATCTCCAGTTGCCACTCCGCTCTCCGCGTCACCAACTCCGCCAGCATCTAAGACTGCACCTAAGCCGCAGCGTCAGCCGCGCAACAAACGAATTTCGGCCCCCACCAACAAGGAATTACAGCTTCAAATACAGAACTGCTTTGTTTTAGGTGAGTAATTCATAAATTAAAATACAAATTAATCCAAACTAGAGCCCTGCATGAATGGATTCAATGAATTATTTTGCCTTTTTTGTTTTATATGACTGAGGGCCGGTTTCTCGAGTGCCGGCTAACATTTCTCGAACAGATAAAGTCCCTGCTAAGGCATTTTGGCTTTCTCGAGCATAAATGTGAGAGCTAACTTTGACAGGGACTCGGAGTCCCTGTTAAGCGTTTTCGACTCGATAGAATGACAGCTGATTTCCCAAAGCCAACTATGAAGAAGAAACGAAATCACAGTTGACTTTTCCTTTGAATTATACGCAAACAGCTGATGAAATAATCGAAGCATGCCATTTTTTGCCCTTCACAGCACAATTCTGTGCGTTAACAGCACTCTGTAATTGTTTCTCGTTCAGATAAATTAAAAAAGTCGAGAAAGCGGATTTGCTTTTACGAACAGTTTATCTGGTATTTAAGTTTTTCGAACAGATAGCTATCAGGGACTTTGACAGGGACTCGAGAAACCGGCCCTAAATGAATTAGAATTTTGAGAATTCCGAAATAATACAAACGACAATTTTGTGATTAAATCTGCCTGAATTTTATTTACTATGCAGTTAACATTGATTTGTTAACAATTTTCCACTTCTTGTTCTTAAAAGAAAGAATAAAAAAAAAACTGGCAATTTCAAAAAATTCATAAAAATTATTCATTCAATTTGAAATGAATTCGAAAAACATTTAATTTATTTCACATAGAATTGAATTAAACAAATCAGAAATTTCATGGCATTCTATGATAAAACAAAAAATGAATGATTCTCGCAGGGCTCTAATCCAAACTTATTTAATGAATTCGAATTTATGATACAAAATATAATAATTGATAAACCTCAGACGATCTGAAGGGCTTAGCTGCTAGAGCTCTTAATCTCAATTAGCTTGTAGTTTTAACTTTAAGTTGGCTTTATATAAATAAATAAATAATAATTTATAAGAAATTTAAGACTTAACAAGTAAATAACTAATTTAAAATGATCAGAAAGTCTATATTGACCCTCGTTAATGGGACAATGACTTCTTTTGCAAGAGTATATCGGTTAGGAATAATAAAAAGATATTTATTTTTAATATTATTTACTAATAAATATAATTTTCAGGCGACGAACAATACTCGGAGCATACGCGTAAAATCCGCGATATTCGTAATGGAATCCTGGATCAACCCATGGTGTCGAAGGTGCCAGGAGCACCCGAGGAGGCGGGCCAGGAAGAGCCGGAGGAGGAGGAGGACCCTGAGGACAACACCCTGCTGGAAATGGATTTGGGAGGCACTCTGATCGAGCAGCTACGCGCCCAGTTCCACACCGACGACGAGCTGTTGCCGCCGGAGCAGGAGCTGCCCGCCATCACGAAAATATTTGTGCCGCGTCAGCTGGCCAAGCAGCTCTACATGCTGTGGATGGAGGCGGTGTACAACCAACTGGAGGAGCAGCGCCAGCAGACACTGCGCGACGACGAGCAGTTCGCTCGCCTGCTGAAGCACCCGGGATACGCCGATTGCCGCGAGTCGCCGAGCAATGTGGGCGAGCTGCTGGACATGGAGCTGGCCTGGAGCATATACAACAACGAGCAGTTGGCCGCCAAGCAGGCAGCCGAATTGGCCGCCAGCAAGAAGCCGCCCAACGACATCGCCACTCATCTCACCAAGATGAAGCTGTGCGAGACGTTCCCCGACATCCCCACCGACACGGTGCTCGAGATCTTTGCGGCCACCGGCAGCAACTACGGCCAAACAGTCGAGGTCTTGGACAGCAATGTTCAGAGCGCGCTGAGCGAGGCGGAACTGTTTGAAAAGGCTCTACGCGAGGGCGAAAAACTTAGTGCGGAAGTGGCGGCGCAGGAAGAGCGAAAGCAGCAGCAGCAAAAGCAGGGACAGCGGTCCAGTTCCAGCTCCTCCACCTCTGCCCGGTCGCCGCTGCTCCACGAGGAGGCCAAGTGCGCCGCTCTGCGCGACTTTGAGGAGACACGAAACATGGCCGCCCATCATTCGCAGCTAAAAGCCGAGTGCTACTTGAAGGCCAAGCAGGCGATACAGCGCGGCAATGGCGGCGTGGCGCTGTACTACTCGGAAATTGCCAAGCTGCATAATCAGAAGATCGACGTTTTTAATCAGAGGGCGGCCAACTGTATCATGGAAGTGCATCGGCACACGCAGAACAACCCGGATCTGCTGGACCTGCATTACCTGCACACGGTGGAGGCAATCAGCTGCCTGGACCTGTTCCTTGATCGGCACATAACCGTGCTGCGCAACTCCACGCGCGTCTACAAGCACGTATTCATCATCACGGGACGTGGACTGCACAGCGCCAATGGAGTATCTACTATTAAGAACAGGGTGAAGTCCCGGTTGGGCGAGCGTCGTTTGCGGTAAGTGGCGGTTATTATTCGTCTAAAACCCATCTAATTGTCCTGTTCTTTCAGATGGCAGGAGGTCAATCCGGGCTTACTGCGCGTCAAGGTGTTCTCGGCGTCGCGGCACTCGAAGAATTTCTGATTGGAGGTGAATTGCACGGCGGGACTTGCGGGTCAGAACGGATTTCAAACTGCCATATAGGACCAAAGGCAACGGAAAACTACCTCATCCGTTTTTTGACAAATATTGAAGTTGCATAATCCCTTCTTTCCAATCCTGGTCGCTGTATTACTTTCGAATGTGTTCTATTACCTATGAAACATTCCCGATTTTATTACTCTATATTTCTTAAAATGCTCGTACCAATTATTCATTTTAAGTTTTCATTATGCTTCCAAATTAGAGTTCGTGTAAGACGCGAATTCGCAACCAACTCTGCAATGGTGCTCCAGTATCTTCCAATGAGATATATGTATATTCGCAAAATACTTATTTTTATATTATCTTACAACCGATTAGCGTAATAATATAAGAATCCTAGCCTTAAGCAAAACTTTGTGCAAAAATTACCATTAAATTCTGTTTGGTAAGCAGTTTTTTTTAGTGTTTTATTAAAGCTTGCATATAACCTTTTAGCAGTCCAACTATTTCAAATGTCACTAAACACTTTTTACTTGTTCTAACAATATTAGAATATATATTTTAGTGATCGTGATAAAATATTTAATAACTTTTTATCTAGCTGAAACATCTTTTAGTAAGTTTTTTGTTTAATATTCGCTGAAAAACTTAGTTCCAAGATTTATGGCATGATTTATTGACCGTAATATAACGTTTATTAGTGGAAACAACGTATCCAGCCAAGCGGTCATAAAGATTTTTCCATTTTCCTCAGGGTAGAATTAGTGATTTATTAGCGGATTAGCCGTACCTGTAGATGTTCTTATCTACCTGCACCATCTGTCCAACAAAATACAACCGAACCTCAAGTTAATGTTTGAAACATGGAAAGACAATCTTTATTTACCACTACATAAACATCTAGCCTGACATTGGGAAACGCAGGGCACGTAGCTAGGGTGAACTTAAGGATCAGCCGGGGATCAGGATACACATTAGGGTGTACACCTGCCGGCCGCTGGGATTTCTATCCACACATTCAGGTAAATTGTAACTTAGTCTAGATCATCGATGGCAGTCTGAGCGCTAGCTCCATGGCTTTGGTTGGGATCGCTTCGGTGGGGGTCACTAGGTGGGGTGGTCCTTGAGCGGCGATGGTGACTGAAGGCCGGGCAATCGCGCTCCCGGCGACTGGTTCTCCTTGCCACCGGTTTGCAGGCGGTTGCCGATGGCCATTAGCTCGATGAGATTCGCCCGGCTGCGCTTGGGAGTGAAGCGGGAATTGCCGGAGTTGGCGGCCTTCTCGCGAGGCGGGGTGCTCAGGAAGACGCCCTCGAAGATCGTCTCCAAGCTGTTGGAGTCGTCGGCGTCGCTGGGTGGACTGATCTGGGCGTTGATCTCGTGCAGCGCCACGTACTGGGGGTCGTTCTGGCGGGAGGGCTCCTCCTCCTCGTCCACCGGGAGCTGCTGCTGGCGCGCCGTCTGCTTGGGCGTCTCGATGTCCGACAGGTTGAGGTCGTCGATGGGCGAGGGGGTGCGTCCGTGGGGCGAGAAGGCGCGGATCTCGAAGGCCGGCAGCTCGTCGCAGCTGCCATCGGGGGACTGCTCCTCGCGTTCGAAGGCCAGCGAAAGATCGCTCTCATTCTCCATGTCCAGGGAGGACATGGAGCACTGCAGGCGGAAGGATCCATTGAGCTGATCTCCCTCCGCACACGTATTCACCGCTTCCGAGGTCTCCATGTTCTGGCTTGATTCTGAACGGCTGCGGTTGCTTATATACATTACAGGATCGCGCTTTACGTTCTGCCTGCCTGCATCCGCTACTGACTTCGCGGAAATCTGCGACCGCAGGTAACCAGTAATTGGGTTCAAACCCTGTCCTTTTGCCGCCAGTCCAAAAAATTTAAATCCCAACAATGCAATTCCAGACGTCACTTTGCTAGGGATGGGAGACAGCCGCGCTACCTGAAAAGTTCCCTGTGAATGGCAATCGAGCGACATCCGATAGTTGCGGGAAAATAGCTAGAACTATTGATTTAAAAAAAGCGCCTAATTAATTTTTCGTAATATTCCGTATATTTCAATAGGGGTATTAATATAATATAAATCATTATGTTTGGGGCTGTGGGTACAAAGCATAGACTTTTTTGGAATTTTATCATCTCCAGCAATAATTTCTGTAATAGATTTTTTGATTTTTATTTCTGAGTTATAGCATATAGTTTTGTCTCAATTTATTTATAATTATATTATTTGGTAGCACTGTCAAATTTTTTTCATTAGTCAATTATCTTGTAGCTGAGCAAAGGACTAGTTTTGACTAGTTTATAGAATTCTACAGTCTTCGCATGTGACATATTCTTGATGTTATTTCCCTCAAAGGATTATAAAAAAACTCCCAGCTTACTCTCATAAAATTGCGCCAAATTTAAATATTTTCGAGGGTGACACATAATTCTCTTAGTTGGGTGCATTGATGTACAAATACAGAGGAAAATAAGATTTTTGAAATTAAGTTTTAAAATGTCATTCTTATACGAAATATTTTATGCAGGGGTGGCACAGAAATGTTTTCCAACCAAATTTCCCCCGGAAAGGAAATCCCGGTGCCACAGACGTCTTTATAGGGTCAAAACGCTTCCTTTCATCATAATTTTAATAATTCATAAGGTAATAAATTATTGTGTCAATTTCTTACCTACCAGAAGTTTAATCTTGATTAACTTTGCGATTATTTTATTGGCGCTTACGATACAATACAAACTCGTTTACAAAGAGGAATGCGAATGCGATTTGGTGTGGGTAGCTGCTGAGCGTGATTAAAATGTAATGCCAGGAAGTATGGGGCAAGAACTATGTATCCAGATTGGCCGTGACTAGTGCGAGGGTGGTGTTGAGTGCTCAATGAGATTCCTGCTCCTCGATCCTATCCAGTTTGATTATTAATGCGTTAATTATGCAGGCGCCAGCCTCTTTGGTGAACCAGCAGAGATCGTTAAGCAGGTGCACAGACGATTCGTTGAGAGTGGCGGAGGAAGATCCACCAGCACCCTCGGCGCCCTGACTGGAACCACCATGATCGTGATCACCGGATCCCATGCTGCGCCGCTTGGCCTCGGCTGCCGCCTTGCCAGTGGTCACTCCCGAGATGGACTGTCGGCGAACGTAGACCTCGAAGGAGGTGGAGATGCGGTGCAGTCCCTGCTCGGAGGCAAAGTGATGCTGCGGCAGCACAGGTTCGATGACTGTGGCATTGGGCGAGTAGTACAGTTCCAGCCGCGTGCCTGGCTCATCTTTCAGAGCAGCAGCGGCCGGCTCTTCATCCGGTTCCGTTTCCAGCGGCAGCGGCTGTCCGCGATCCAAAATGGCCCGAATCTTGTCCACCCGTGTCATGTAGTAAAAAGGCAGCCAGTCGCCATTGAGATCGAAGTGCACTTGGGGTGCGGTCGATGAGGGTGCGCCACCGCCACCGGTCGATGCAGTCGATGTCGAAGTGCTCAGCACATTGACCGTCTGCTGGTTGAGCTTGAAATATACCCATCCTTCCAACTTATCGCCATTTCCGCCATTGCTGGGCCCACTGCACTTCAGGCAGAAGCACACCGGCTCTAGACGGCTATCGAAAAAGGCCTGCGGCAGGACTAGCGAGGCACAGAAGCGTCTCACCTGGCGCAGGTACTCGCAATCGTTCTGCTCCACACTGGCACCCGTGGCTGTGGATCGCAGGGAATCGGTTCCGCCGCCCGGTCTCGCCTGGCCGATGGAATTCGAGTCGGACTCCATGGAGTTAAGCGAGGGCAGGTCGAGATTCAGTAGAGACGCTTGATCCGGCATAAGATGGTGCCGCGTATACTCATTTTGCTGGAGTTGCTGCAGCAGTAAAAGGTGATTCATGTAGTCTATCTCATCGTCCTCCAGCACATTGTCATTGGCAGCTGGTTCTCCAGACATTTCGCGTTCGTTGCTAGCGTTGCTTAGTTCCAACGCCTCCGCATTGTTCTCGCTGTGATCGATCGTTGCGGCCACCGTTGCTATTGGCCCAGGCCCTTCGTCCACGGAATTAGCTAGCGGGTTGGGTGGATTGGGCAGGTCGTCGTACTCCTTATTCGTGTCATAAACACCCGAGTTACTCAGGTGTTGAATATTGGCCGTGGACCCACTGGGTCCACTACTTCCCGCTGCCGTTGCCGAAGTGTTTAACGAGTTCTGGAATCTCTGGGTGCTCTGACTGCGTTGTATATTAAGGTTGGTGTTGTGCTGCAGCTGAAGAGACTCGCGAAGGCAACTGAAAGAGAAGAAGGGAGTAGTATTTAAATCAGGGTTCGGAAAATAACACACACTGTAAAAAACTTGTGTTATTAACATGTTAAATGTCAAAGTGTTAAGTTAAAAAAAAGTTATTAACTTGTGTGTAAATTGTGTCCTACAAATGTTAGAAACATAAATAACACACACATGTCATTTGTCTTATTTACACGACGTGTTTTTTACGCAGCATGTTTTTTACACAGCGTGTTTTTAACACAATGAGTTTTTGACATTAAAGTGTCATAATTGTATGCAAAATGCACGGGTTTCTAGAGTATAAGAATTCATATATGTATGCTTTGAAATGGTTTAAACTAATATACAAGATATCATGTCCCATATTGTTCTTTCATTTTCCCTTCGACTCGTCAATGTCAGTGAAATGTAATTTTCATTTGTGTTAAAAACACAGTGTGTAAAAACATGTCGCGTTAATAACACATGATGTAAAAAACACAAGTGAGCTGTGTGTGTTAACAATTATTGTATTTGACACACATGTCAAAAATTTTGCTCACACTGTAAAATACAATTTTTCATGTTTTTAACATGTGTGTCAATTTCCGAACCCTGCTTTAAATGAAGGAAATAATTAAATATACCATATAGTATATGACCAGAATTGTCTTACCAAGTTGACGAGGATCCACCCAGTTCGTTTCGCTGTTGCTCCAGCGTTCGATTCTTTATAGAAATGTTTAGCAGCAAGTTCTCTGAAACGCTTTCCATAACCGACCGAGTCCTGCAAAAATAGTTCCTATAGAACACCAAAGGCAATCAGTTTGCTTCCATTACTTACATCGCGTTCGAAGGAGCACCGGAGGTGGATGGACCATCCCTAGTAGACTCGCACACCTGTTCGGTGTCCTTCTCCTTCTCGTGCATCTCCAGGTGCGCCTTTTCGCACTGCTGGGGCATTCCATTGTCCAATTCAAGAGCCTCAGGCGCCTCCAGGATTGGAGTGCTGTTCGCGTTCCCAGTGCGACCGGCATCATTGCCCGTAATCAAGGTTATCTTTTCGCACTTGCCATACACATCGAAAACCGGATACACATGGTTGGGTAGACCGCTGGCCAGATCCTCCAGATTTGTTGATCCAACCATTATGACTATAAAATAATTACATTTTTAGAGTGTGTTTTAAACGTTTTTCTGTGAAATCTTACTTAGCATTCCGGCATGGGTTAGTGTCAGGGTGATGACCGTTCCCACTTGAATCTGCTCGAGGGCCTCGCCGTATTTGGAGGCCATCACTTGGCCGTTGATGTTCACATAATCTTGGGTCGCCAACCAGCAGCTTCTCTTGAAATCCAATAAAGAAATTGGCGCAATCTGTGGACTGGCGGACAAAACGCCGAGGCTGAGAGTGCCCTTCCACTTGTTGTTCAATGCATCTACCTTAATGCTGATGCTCTCCCCCTTGCACAGAGGCTTATTTAGGCAGACAATTGCCTGGTTGTACGACTTGATCCTGGTCACACTCCTGCGATCCTCGCTGAGCCTCGCGTTCTTCTGTGACACATCCAAAAATTCGTAGTTCTGCGCCTCGGAATCAATTGATTCCAGCATTGAGCTATCCTGCTTGTTCAGTGGGTCCACTCCAAAGTCCATGGAGTCCTGCAGTCGCAAACTGCACGGACGTAGAGGCGATGCTGGTCCCTGGGCGGAAATCACCTGGATACCCATGGTCGAACCTCGAAGTTCCGCCACCACATACACATCGTTGGGCACGTTGTGAAACTGGATGTTTACGTTTTCCGAGTTCAGCAGAATGTTCAACGAGTTCTCCACCCGCTCCAGCGTTATCCTATCGTCCACCCTTAGCCACTCCAGCGAGGCCAGCGAACGCTGGAGACAGCTTGAGTTTAAGCACACTTCGTTACCGCTCACGTACCAAACATTCGCTGGAATCCTCCGCAGGCTGGTGGGCAGCTTCTTGCGCACGCTCTCGTCACTGAGATTCAGATCCGTGACTCCAATGCTGAGGCAGCCTGGTAAATATTCAAATTTTAATGTAAGTGTAATTTAAATTCTTAAGTGGGGAGATACATAATATGTATGAGTACACTTGAATTGACAAACAAGTCAATTTTTTGAAAATAGAGTGAGTGAGTTCAAGTGAGTTAACTTGGATCACTTGATCACTCGTAAGGGAAAACAAGAGATACAAGCACAGAACAAAAGTGAGTGGGAGTGATAAAATTACTTAGCAAATTATTTAGGTTATTCAAAATTATTTTATATCTATTTATTTTATATTAAATCACTGTAATTTTTTCAAGTTTTTCGTGTTTTTTTTTAAACAATAAGGAATTGTGCTGGGACTTCGTAACTTGGCATGTTGATTACATTGTTCTTATATAAGTTTTACCAATTTTTATTTTGTTTTTATCTTTCAAAATGGCGGCCATAGACCCGATATTTACAAAACCAAGTTTATTTTGTTAAGAAATAATGTAGAATTTGTCTGAACCTAACTTATATAGAATATCTCAAAAACTATGGTTGTGGCACTCTTTCAAAGTTAAAAATCTATTTTTTTCATAATTTTTTTGTTGTTTTTGGCTATCAAAAACGTACAAATTTCTACATTAAGTAGGTTCAGACAGTGGGCAATTTTATTAAAAACATTTCTGTAAAAGCAGCATAATGATCGAGGCATTACTTTTTGAGAAACTCGATCCGCATTTAAACTAATAAAATATATCTACTGCACAAGGAAGGGGGGGACCGTCATCCTGGTATAAGTTCCAAAAAAGGTCGAATTTCTTCGTGAAACTTTCATGACACATTTTTAAAGAGTTATTCTACCCATTTAGATAAAAAAAAAAATTGAATATTTATTTTTTCTATAAGTATCTATAAGTATTAAAAGGGGTTTAAGAAAACTGCTTCTTACCCGCAAACATGGGATTAATAGATGTCAGCTTGATCTCGAATGGCGATCCTGCGCTGAGCGGATGCTCGGAAAATACCAGGCAATGGGATAGCGGCGCCGCCGCCCCAGAGAACCGCGAGGCCTCTGTCCAGTCCTTGGTGAGGCTCACATTCCCCGAGACACAAGTCCAGCGGTGTTTCGTCTCCATTGCCGGATGCTGGATTACCGAAGTGGCTTGACAGCTCTGCGAATTCTCGCTGGTTGCGTACGGCGCCCGGATGTCCAGCTGGGTTTGCGTGAGACTCACCTGGGCGCACTGCCCGTATAGATCGATAATGGCCCAGATATTGGGCGCATGGCATTCGCAAGCCGGTCCCTGATCCATGCCATCGACAAAGAAGTGTATAAAGTCACCATTGCGCATCACTCCCACCCGGGTGCTTGGACCGAGCGTATCCAGATCTAGGAGAATATTCGTGCGTATGGTTTTGCGGTTGTGAAAAATCATGGGGCCGCATAGGATGATGGTGTCGCTGGCTTCTAAATCGGTGGCATTGGGTGCCAGCTGGATGTCCTCTGGCCGGGTGCCCGTCACTCCGATCTCTATGTTGCCCGACCAGTGGCGAACCATGGTCTCCAGCTCCACTTCGAACAGTTCCCTTTGCCTCAGCGGTCGATTGCTAAACACTATGGCGTCATTAAACTCGGCCAGGGAATTGGGACGCGATGCAGTCAACCCGCTATTTGAGATGCCCGCATTGGCGCCGTGGATGCTGTGAAATCGCAGAGGAACCTCACTGTACAGCGTCGTATTCGAGATGGTGGAGTTTCCTGTGTCCGGGCTACCGCACTCCGAAGTGTCCACGATGCTGGCCTGTGCCGCCTGGCCGTACAAATCGATTACACCGTAAACGCGCTCCGGCACATTGCTGGCAGCTGGACCCTGGTCCACTCCGTTTACCCAAAAGTGCACCGTGCCGTCGTCCTTGCGCACCACGCCCACCCTATCGCCCACCTGCAGGCGATCCAGATTTTGGCCGTACTGCTCGATGACTGTCACGCCGTTCTGCATGACGCCATTCCCTGTCATCATCCAAGTTCCGGAACTGTTTGGGGTAAAGCACTCGTCAAAATAGTTTCAGTGGATTGGCAACCAGAACTCACCGCACATTGGTCATGGTGAAGGGAAAGTCCAGCTCGTCGGCGCTGTGAGTGGTCACGCCCATTTCAACGGATCCCGCCCATTTGGTCACCACACGTTCAAGTCGCACCTGGAAAAGTTCGTTGGGACGAAGGGGCCGTCTGGTGAGGACTACACCATTGTTGAAATCATCAGCAGCGCTATAAAGAAGAGGGGAAAAATGTTTAAAACTCTGCAATATAAATACCTAAAAAAAAGAAAAGATAAAGGCCATTTTTCAACATTTATGAGGTTTAAAAGATAGTGTTCTTTTAACTGAAAAAAAGAAAGAAAGCTAGCTAGCTTCGGTCAGACGAAGCAGATTATTCCTACAAATTTACAAATCCCAAAAATTATAAATGCCCCATTATTTCTCATTAAGTTATATGATATAGTAGTTCAATTTTGATCAAATTAAATTCGACATTCGGAAATATTAAAAAAAGAGTCATATCCCAAAGTAGAATATTCTATTCTAATAACACCCAACGAAGCAATAATATATTTCCTATTATATTCCCATTAATTTTCCGGTCGTTCCTATGGCAGCTATATGATATAGTCGTCCGATTTTGATAAATTTGAATATGAAATTTAGAATTAATAAAAAAATATTATTTCCAAGCGTATTAGATTAAATGTTAAAAAACACTAAACATATAATTAAAAAAAAATTTTTTTACGATTATTCCTATGAGAGATATAAGATATAGTTCTTCGATCCGGCTGGTTCCGACTTAGATATTAGACTTTTGGGAAAGTTTTAGCCCGATAGCTTTAAAACTGAGAGACTAGTTTTCGTAGAAACAGACGGACAGACGGAAGGACGGACATGGCTAGATCGACTCGTCTAGTGATGCTGACCAAGATTATATATACTTTATGGGGAATCGTCTCCTTCACTGCGTTGCAAACTTCTGACTGAAATTATGATACCCTCTGCAAGGGTATAAAAACCTCCCCCGACTCACTTGGGTCGCAGAGCTGTGCGTCCGCTCTGGGTGACGGTGGCGTGGGTTCCACATATGTGATGGAAGGTCAGGCGATCATCGTTCCTGGCTATGGCACGCGTGCTGGAAATGGTCTCGCTCAGACCGCCGGCAGCCCCAGCCACGTTCATCTCGCTCTCCGGACTGAGAAGGCTTAGGGTGGGTGTGCCGGAGTGCTGCTGGTGCTGAGTATGCTGACCACCGGCTCCACTTGTGCAGGCACTCATTCCGGCCACAATGTTATTGCGACGCGTGACGAGATTCTGCTGCTCACGCTCGTCGCGGTCAACAATTGTGACCTTGATGGTCATGCCGTAGAGATCGATGACGCCCCACAACGTGGAGGCCACTCGGGTGGCGGCCACACCCTGGTCCTGCCCGTTAATGTAGTTGTGCAGGTTGCCGTTGGCCTTGCGCATCATCCCAACGCGATCGCCCTCGCGCAGCTCGTCCAGATTGAACTCGCCGTACTGGCGGCGCGTCCCCTTGCCGTTCGTGAGTATTCCACAGCCCGACATCATAATGGTGCCCGAGCGCATGTTCGTCATGGTGGCCGGAAAGTGCAGCACGGTGGGATTGTGCGTGGTGACGCCCACTTCGATGGATCCCGACCATTTGTCCACCAGCTTGTCGATGCGAATCTCGAACAGCTCGTTGTCCCTCAACGGCCGGTGGGTCATCACCACGCCGTTGTTAAACTCGTCCAGCGGTCGTCGTCGTTCGGCGGACCGAAAGTTGGGCGAAAGCTTGACGAGTGATCCGCAGCGCGTGTGGAAGCACAGACGGTCGTCGGCACATGAGGCGGTCGTCCCAGTGCCTTGCATCCAGGCGTCGGAATCCACGACGATGTTCACGTTCATGGCCACGTCAAGATTCTGGACCACCTGTTGCAGGGGCTGCTGGAGCGGTGAGTCCAAGAGCTGCGTTTCAAGGAAGTTTAGTAAGTTTAGCATTTGGCATACTGATAGTTACCTCGCCGGAGACGCCGCCATCGCGTGGACACAGGGACACCTGAACACAACGCCCGTAGAGATCGACGAGGGCCCACAGCGGCTTGGGCATGTTCTTTGCCGCCACTCCCTGGGACTCGCCGTTCACATAGAAGACCAGATCGTTGCCCGAGGTGCGCATGACGCCCACCCGGTCGTTCTCGTTGAGAGTCTCCAGGTCGGTGCCGTAGAACTCGAACAGGCGGCGTCCATCCTTGCGCACATCGATGCCGGACATGACCCAAGTGCCGTTTCGCATGGCCGTGGCGCAGGCCACCAGTTCCAGGTCATCGGGCGACTCGGCCGTGACTCCGATCTCTATGCTGCCGCCCCAGGAGGTGTTCTGCCGGAGGATAATTATCAGCTAGGAGGAGGAGCTCAAGTTACTAGCCACCCACCTTCTTCTCGATGACGACTTCGAAGAGCACGTCGTCCTCCAGGGGCTCCGCACTGAACACCAGGGCATGGCTAAAGTCCCGCATGGAGCGCTGGGCCATCCGGTTGTTGTTGTACAGCCGGATGGAGCGGCCGCAGCGGGTGTGGAAGGACTGGGCCTCTCTGCCGGTCATGGTTGCTCCTCCAGTTCTGCTTGGTCGGCTCTTTTCCCCACCGCCGCTGCTGATCGGCGTACAAATCAATGGACACTCGGAATGGGCACACGGTCGGAATGGGGCTCATCGGCTGCTAATGATGCACTGGCTCGGTTCTGGGGGCTGCTGGTCAACCTCTGACGGCGTGGTCTGCAGTTTCCGGTGGCTGCACTATGCATTATGCATTGTCTTCAAAGTTCCAACAGTAAAATAAATAAATAGTGAATGTGGACTGGACGATAGAGGTGGAGGAAACATCGATTAAAACATCGATGCATCGATAAAGAAACGACGGAAAATGTGTTTTTATACCCTTGCAGAGGGTACTATAATTTTGGTCAGAAGTTTGTAACGCAGTGAAGGAGACGTTTCCGACCCCATAAAGTATATATATTCTTGATCAGGATCAATAGGGGAGTCGATATAGCCATGTCCGTCTGTTTCAATACAGTTTGCGAGCTCAGTTTAAAAGCTAGCGACTTAAAACTTTCACAGTCGTCCTAAAACATGTGTACGCAGATCAAGTTTAAAAACCGACCCGATCGGACGTCTATATCCTATAGCTCCCATAGGAACAATCGGATATAGCTTTCACAAAATGAAGATATTTCGCTCAGTGTAAGAGCTTTTGATGTGAATCTTTCTAAATCTTATTCTTTTACGCATACCTTGATCAGGGTAAAAGCGCGTGCGGATCGGACGTCTATATCTTATAGCTCCCATAGGAACAATAGAGCGAAAATTTTAAAAATTTTATTTTTTATATCCTTGCAGAGGGTATTATGATTTCAGTCAGAAGTTTGCAACGCAGTGAAGGAGACGTTTCCGACCCCATAAAGTATATATATTCTTGATCAGCATCACAAGACGAGTCGATCTAGCCATGTCCGTCTGTCCGTCTGACCGTCTGTCCGTCTGTCTGTTTCTACGCAAACTAGTCTCTCAGTTTTTGAGCTATCGGGACGAAACTTTCGCAAAAGTCTTCTTTCTATTGCAGGTAGTATATATGTCGGAGCCGACCGGATCGGACAACTATATCCTATAGCTCCCATACGAAGGATCGGAAGAAAAAAACTTTAAAAAATTCTAGCTTCGGTGTTTTTTGAAATATTACCTTCTACTTTTGGGGATGTTATTTTTTAAATATTTCTGAATTTCGAATTAATTATTTAAAAAATCGGACTACTATATCATATAGCTGCCATAGGAACGATCGGAAAATTAATGGAAAAGTAATAGGAAATAAATTCTAGCTTCTTTGGTTTTTATTGTATTATATTTTACTCTAGGATATAACTCTTTTTAAATATTTCCGAATTTCAATTTTAATTTGATCAAAATCGGACGACTATATCATATAGCTGCCATAGGAACGATCGGAAAATTAATGAGAAATATTAGAAAATTGAACATTTTTGCGATTTGTAAATTAATAGAATGATCTGCAAGGGTATATAAGCTTCGGCTGGCCGAAGCTAGCTTCCTTTCTTGTTTCAATTATAAAATATTTGATAATTATTAATTCATGTTGCTATTCTAGTCAAGTTTTCATTCGTGAAATCTGCAAGGGTATTAAAACTTAAGCTTGCCAAAGTTAGCTTTCGTTGGTATTCGTTCAGGCAGCAAAAAAATAAACACCAGATATTTTGCATAAAAAATACACCATAGTTTTTATTCGTATAAATATGTATTTTAATGGAATAGATCAAATTATATGAATTACAAAAATGATTATTTTTTAAAGAAACCAAAAAGCCTACCTAATTCATGTTATTAGTGTAGTAACGTTGTAGGTAAATATGTACATTATTGAAGTACGATCAAATAGTATGAAATACAAAAGTTATTATTTTTTAAATATGTACATTATTGAAGTACGATCAAATAGTATGAAATACAAAAGTTATTATTTTTTAAACGCAGCCAAACAGCCTATCCAATTCATTAATGTTGTTAACTTATCAAAAAATAACTGGTTCTCGTGGTGATGGTTGTCCTACCGACACTTTCTAGGAAAGAAAATGGCACCTTTTGCTAAACCCCAAAGCTGCTCGTTATTCATCCGAGTCGTAAGGGTAGTTGTATTCATTTACAGTTTTTTGGAGTCTTTCAGCTATTTGATACAGAAAATATAAGTTGTTCTTAAGGGACACGATTTTGGATTTTCCAGGCCCCCCGAAGAACTCATTAACTGTCATCTTAGAAAAGTCAATAAGACTCAACAAGGTCTCGATATAGTGGCTATGGATCTTTTTAACATTGGGGTCCAAGGATACAGAGTTTGCATCAGAAAAGTTTGAGTTCTTTACCTCGATCGGCTTTGGATTGGCGACTGGATTAACTGACAGATCTTTTGGAGTTTCCGGATTTGTCTCCCTTTTATTTTCCAGCCCCTTGCATTCTATCTTATTAAGATCGCTTTGGTTTTGGTCGAGTTCAAATCCGTGAATGGCCACATACTTCTCTACAATGTGAAATCGAGTTATCTCTTCCACGGAGCCCTCTATAGTCTTCAAATACTCTCTGAAGACATCCGAACCCAGTTCATAGATTCCTCCTGGGATTGACTTGGCAACAATGTTTTGCTTTAGACCTTCTGAAATCTTGTCGATCAGTTTCATATCGTGAACGTGATGCCCATGCTCAAAGTAAAGTAGCATATCCGAGTACATCATTTTGGGATATCTTTTCTTGAAGTTATCCTCGCAGGCCAGCTGTAACGGTTCGACCATCCACATATTGGCGCACTCCATCAGCTTGATAATAACCTGGTTGCTGTAGTCTTTCAGGGATGTCCTGTCGTAGGTGTAGACATATAGACGGAACTTTTCGAAAGTGTCCTCCGTAACACCGGTTAGGGTCACTTCGCCTGTTTCTGCCTCAGCAAAACCCGGCTGAAAGGTGCGCTTAAAGAACTCAGAAGCCGCACCCAGTATCACCTAAATAAGATAAATGTTTTAAAAATGTAAGATAGTAGTATTAGCACGGTTGCCACTTCAAAAATTTTTTTATGAGCCAAAAAAAGATTAAAAATGTGCCAATTTTAATAAAAAAAGCCAACTTTTTACCATACACCAAATTACCATACCAGCGAAACAATTTAGTTTCGATCTGTCACTTTTGGGTTTCAGGCATTAATCACTTTTAAAATAGCAAAAAAAAATGCTTAATTAAAAAAATGTATTCGTTTTTTCCAACTTTAAAATATTTTATATCGCTATTAGCAAAAAAGAGCCAAATTTAATAAGAATGGGCCAAAGAGCCAACGCGAAAAAAAAGGGCCAATATTGGCAACCGTGAGTATTAGTCCCCTATGTTTTACATACCTTGTGGCAAGGGAACCTGCGCGTTCCAACAATTACACAGCAGTCGGCGTAGTCGCCCGCCTCCATGAGTTGCTTAAAAGAACTTGGCAGCCTATAAAAATAGTATTACCCATTAACAATGTTGAATTTTTTGTACTGTTCTTCCTTTTTTGCTTACAAAAGGTCCATAGTTGCTTGATTAGTTAATAGCACCTTTGATGAAATATGCGCAGTTTTATTTAGCTGGATAGTACTTGACCCGACAAATTATTAAGGGACTTTACCTTTATCTAGTCCAGCGGTCGGCAGCGCCCTATTAAGTGAGCATAGGGTTTTGTTCTGTCGCCGCGCTGCTCGCACATGTATAACGTAGAACAGCGGTCTGCACACACACATCGATGAGCTGCCCAGTGCAAATTACTCACACAAATATAAAACAAAGTGTCAACGTATGTGTGTGCCGACCGCTGATCTAGTTCAATTAAGTATGCTCAAATGATTTGGAAGCTTCATCCTAGTAGTCACATGGACGAAAACGATAGGCATAGTAAGGAAATACTTAAGCCTAAATAATTGCGACAATCAATGTTTTTGTCACATTACCAACACTAAAGAAAGGGTGGAAAATGTGCTTTTAATTTAAGTTTACTGTACTTACATATTTTTAGATATTAAGCTGGTGGTGTGGGAGGGAAGCGGGGATGGATTAAGCTTTTCATAAAACTATCCTATATCCTATAATACTATAATGTGAATATGCTGATCACTTGGATTATTGTTGATAAATTTTTTTGTAATAAAGCCTTGGGTTTTTTGTTTCAATGTAAACTCTAAATGGCTATATTATTCTACTAAATTATTAAAAAAAAAAAACAATTTTTTTCAAAACATCGATGTTCTATCGATGTTTTTTTAAAACATCGAAAACATCGATGTTTGCGAAAATCGATGTTTCTCTACCTTTACCACTATCGATAGTTATGCAATACTGTTTTTTTCGCTCTACAAGAATTGCAACTGGCGCCATCTATATCTGAGCATATTGATTTTCAAATTGTTCGAAAGAATACCGGCAGCTAGAAAATTTAAAATAAATGCATTTCCAGTCGGACATTCAAACATGTGGACCTTGATTTCACAATAAAATCGTATGTAAAATTTCAGGGGTTCGCACTAGGTCAAATTTTCAGGGGTTTTTATGGGGAATTTATTCCATGAAAATACTGTAAATTTTGGACAGCCTTAATAAAATCGAATGGGTTTTTTCAAAACCCAAACTAACAAAAGCAGGCAACCTGGATTGAAAAACAGTTTTTGAAAATGGGTTGTTGCACTAAAAAATGCATATCTCCTAGAATTCGCACTCAATTTGCAAATATTTTGCGTTAACAGCAAAAGGGCCTTTAGATCTTAAAGTTAAAAACAATTTATACATTTTTATTGGTATTTTTTTTTTAACTAAATGAAAACTAGCTATAACAAAATAAAGCCAAAAATTAAACTTTTTGGAACTTTTAAAGGTTGTACCTCCGTTAGTTTCGGCCCAATCACAATAGCTATTCGGAAAATGCATCTGTTGCCTTTTAAATAGTTACAAGTTTGTTGGTCTAATTTTGAGGTCTATTAGGTTTTATAAAAGATGTGCAGAAAATCTGTTTTTTTGCGAGTAGCGTGATCAGCAACTCAAAACTAATAAAAAAAATTGGTCTGTGCTATTATCTCAAAAAAAAATGGAGGTAAGTTGTAAACTAGTGTAATACATATTTTATACTTTTTATTAAAGAAAATAAAACATAACCCGTAATTTCTGATTTTGATTTCAACAGATATAAGAATATATAATAATACAAAAATAGTTTTATATAGGTAATTTTATATAGGTAGGTAAATTGTAATCTAGTGTAATACATATTTTATACTTTTTATTAAAGAAAATAAAAAATAACCCGTAATTTCTGATTTTGATTTCAACAGATATAAGAATATATAATAACACTGTGCAACATTTTTAGGGTTATAAAATGTAACCGCAATTCTGATTTCATGGGCGGAAAGAACTCATCGAAATAAGCTAAAACCCATTTGGGTTTCTCTGGCTTAGCTCGCGTTTCCCTATTATAGCGAGTTAAAGTTTTACATACAAAATTTATTTGTAACGGCCATATCTTGTGACCCGACTAAAATTTCACTATCAAGTCTTCAGTGATTATGTAGCTATGAACCCAAGGAACTAAATTGACAAATGACTCTTGCGAAGACGTACACCTAGCGCGTTAAAAATCGAAAAATTAGGCAAGTTTGTTTTTTAACGCGCTAGGTGCACTAGGTGCTAAGTGTGCAAGAGTCATTTGTCAATTTAGTTCCTTGGGTTCATAGCTACATAATCACTGAAGACTTGATAGTGAAATTTTAATCGGTTCACAAGATATGGCCGTTACAAATAAATTTTGTATGTAAAACTTTAACTCGCTATAAAAGGTAAACGCGAGCTAAGCCAGAGAAACCCAAATGGGTTTTAGCTTATTTCGATGAGTTCTTTCCGCCCATGAAATCAGAATTGCGGTTACATTTTTCATGTTGCACTGTGTAATACAAAAATAGTTTTATATATATAACAAAAGATGTATACATTTTTCAGTGCGCACGAGCGCACTTTCACTGATCTTAAGCCCTAATCCGTTTTGGCATCCGAGTCCTTGGCAATGTTCTCGGAAGCCGCGTCGTCCGTTAAACGGCTGTACTCGGGTTTGGACTTTCCCCTAACATAATCGGCGGTTATGTGAACCCCTCGAATATCTGAGCCTGGCACCAGGAACATGGGATCCAGCAGAAGTTGCTCCATAATGGACCGAAGTCCGCGAGCTCCTGTATTCCTCTCCATCGCCAGCTGGGCCACCGACTCTATGGCGTCCTCGGTGAAGGTCAGGTCTACAGCGTCCAATCCTAACAGCGCCTTGTATTGAGGCACTAGCGCATTGCGCGGTTCGGTAAGAATGCGCACCAACATACTCACATTCAGACTATGGAATGGCACAATAACCGGAAAACGGCCAATGAACTCTGGTATCATGCCAAACTCGCACAGATCACGAGCCTGCACTTTGGACAGGCACTTATCCCGTTCCTCGTGATCCGTAACCGGGGAACTGGAACCGCTCGGCGAGGCCAGGTCGTTTCCATTCTCGTCGAGGCGTCTCGCGATGATCTTGTCCAGACCCGTGTAGGCGCCGGAAGCCACGAACAGGATGTTCGTAGTGTCCAACTGGATCTTCTTGCCAAATAGTTGCTTCCGATGGGTCACGTTTACCACGCTTCCCTCCAGCATCTTCAGCATGCCCTGCTGGACGCCCTCGCCGCCAATGTCCCGCCGCTGCTTTGATGCGGCGACGGCACAAATCTTGTCCACCTCATCCAAGTAAACGATGCCAGTTTGGGCGCGCTCCACGTTGAAGTTGGCATCTTGCAGCAGCTTCAAGAGAACGCCCTCGATGTCCTCGCCCACGTAGCCCGCCTGCGTCAATGTGGTGCAGTCGCAAATGGCGAAGGGAACGTCCAGGCACTTGGCGATGGTCTTGGCGATTAGGGTTTTTCCCGATCCTGTTGGGCCCAGCATAATGATGTTGCTCTTCTCCAGCTTAACGGTCTCTTCCTTGCCGGATTCTAGGTTGGGCATTACTCCTTTCTCCGAAGTGCTGTCGAGTGTAGTCGAGTTTCCAGAAATGTGCAGCTGGTCGAGCTTCAGAATGTCATCCTGACCGGATTGGTCGGTTTTCTCCTTCTGCGGCAAATTGTGGTGAATACGTTTGTAGTGATTATACACTGCTACTGCCAGCACCTTCTTGGCCAAATCCTGGCCCACCACGTGTTTGTCCAGATACTCCATGATCTTCTGCGGTGCAGGTGGTAGCTTGGACACCTTTCGCTTCTGCTCTTCCTCGGTTGGAATCGCCTCCTCCGGCATTTCCACTAAGGAGTTGCACTTGTCGCACCTGGCGGTTCTCGTCGAACTGGTGACGGTTTCCTGCTGGGGATTAGATGTCTGACCAGACGGTTTGTTGGGCTGCGATAGTTCAGGCAGTTGAAAACTACGGAAATGATTAGATTTTCCAGTTGGTTCCACTTTGGGTAATCCAAAAATGGTATTATTGTTTGGCCTGTTGGTGGGTCCTCCGAAAATGTGGATTCCTGTGAATCCTTTGGATTCCTTTGAAGCTTCGCCAGAACTTCCTGGCTTAACATTCCCCTTGGTTGCACCAAAAGCTGGATTACCATTTACATTAAAAATACTATTGACTTGGCCAGGGGTTCCACCAAAGATGCTTTTAGCTTGACCAGTGGTTCCTCCAAAACTGAATCCTGTAGATGCCTTTGGCTCTTGGCCGAAAATATCACTTTTTGGCTTGGCATTGACCGTGGTTCCTCCAAAGATGCTTTTAGCTTGATTAGTTGTTTCTCCAAAGATGCTTTTAGCTTGACCACTGGTTCCTCCGAAATTGATTCCTTGGCTCTGCGGTTTAACCTTCTGCTGAAAGCTAAAGCTGGGAATCGTTTGATCCTTCTGGGGCTGTGGAAAATTACTTTGTGCTCCAAATGATGATGATCCTCCGCCAAAAGTGATATTTCCTGGACTACCATTTGCCTTGGGAGCTCCAAAAATGGCACCTCCTGAATTAGCACTCGATTTGGTTTGGGAAAAAGGGCTAGTTATTGTGAAAGTGGTTTGAGATGGTTTTGTCTGTTCTTCGAGACCGCCAAATGGACTTTTCACTTGTCCACTAACTAAACGATGGACTGTCGAGGGCTTCCCAGCTGCAGAATTAGCTTCGCTCTCGTAAATTTTGATCATGGTATCCACCGTTTGGGGCGTTGCCGCCAACAACAAGTTTATCTTGTAGGTAGCATCCTGAAAAGTTATCTTAAACTGCTGTTGGCAATGGTCGAGGAGATTCAACCGCTTGGTCTCGTAATATCGCATCCGGACTTCCTCGAACGATTGATCCTCGATGAAGTTAGGCATGCTGCCCTTCCTTGGAAACGGCCCATAAGCAGATAGGGGCCACACCCTTCCGTTGAGATTAGCCCTTAGGTCCTCTCGTAGATATTTCCTAGAGAAAGGGTGCTACTTGTTACTCTATATATATTTACTGATGCTCTTACTTCATATCAATGTGCTCATTGGGGCAAGATGAGCCGGCTGGGCAGAGGCCGCGTTGAAAGCTTAAGCAAACGACCATCGTCGAATTTCGTCTTGAATTCTGGGAATTATAAAGTGCGCAGCTTGAAGATAAAACCGAAAGGCTCAGAGCTGAGCTCTGAGAGCGCTATCTGAGGTCCAGGAGTTCCCCGATTTGGTATTTTTGTGATCTGTTCTGTCTATTTTAGTATCAAAGTCAAATGAAACAGCTGACCGTTCTCTGCACAGAATGCATCTACTTACCCTCCAAAACAAACATGATTTCCGTATAAAATCATTAAAATGTAATTTAAATTAAATGATTAAAACAATTTTAAAAATTCAGAAAGTAACTCCTTTTTACAAAAGCAAAGTTAATTAAGTATATAAATGATTTATTTTTAAATTAATTTATTATATTGTATTATAATTATTTGTATATTATATTCTAACCTAGCCTATATTATATTTTAATTAAGTTGGACTCCTTAAAAAAATGTTACACTTGTATTGTCACAGTCACGTTCCCTGCTCTGCTGAACGCACCCATTTGATACCATTTAAATACTAACAGCCAGCTGACAGTAATATCCCGGCGATGCCAAACGGTCACACTGACAGGTGTAGCAAAATAACACATTTCTGGCCGAGATCGTCAAAAACAGAGGATTTAACTGGAATATATAGATGCTCCGTCGCCATGTCCGCTTCACAACGCCAGAAGCAGTTCGACAGGAACCGCAGCCGTGCGAGTAACTTGCCCGGCAGCAGCAGCGGCTCCGGCAGCAACACCAACAGCGCCGTCAGCTCGAAAAATGTGACTTCCCCGAATCAGCGAAGGATGCAAACTTCGATGGAGCGCCTGCAGGTGCAGCAGGCAAACACAAATCGCCGGGCGGCCGGCTCCAACTGGATGGCCGCCGCTGGAGGAGGAGCAGCAGCAGCTACGGGCAGCGAGAACCAGGAGGCGACTGCAGAGTCCGCGCCACTGACGAAATCGGCACGCATGCGCATCAAGAAGCAGGCGCAGCGCAATCGCTACTTGGCCATGGACTGCGAGATGGTGGGCGTGGGACACAACGGACAGGACGACATGCTGGCCCGCGTGTCCATCGTCAATCGCGTGGGCCACGTCCTGCTGGACAAGCATGTGAAGCCGCGCATGGAGGTCACCGACTACCGCACCAGCGTTTCGGGCATTCGTCCGCAGGACATTGCCAACGGCGAGGACTTCCTGGCCGTGCAGAACGAGGTGGTGAAGCTGCTGCACGGCCGCATCCTGGTCGGACACGCCCTGGGCAACGATCTGGCCGTCCTGAGCATCCGCCATCCCTTCGACGATATCCGCGACACGTCGCGCTACAAGCCGCTCTGCAAACTCGTCTCAAACGGCCACACGCCCAGCCTGAAGCGCCTCACCATGGCCGTCCTGGGCCAGGAGATCCAGACGGGCGAGCACAACTCCGTGGAGGATGCACGCGCCGCCATGGGGATCTACAATCGCATTGCCGGCGACTGGGAGAAGTACCTGGAGAGGAAGCGGCACCAGCAGCAGCACTTCTAGCTGACAAATCAAGGGAAGGAGTGCGGTAGCCTTAAGTTAATTGTATACACGAGTTTCATTTACTGGGAACTGTTGTTTAATTCTATAAAACGTTACAACCTAAGCGGTCTTTTGGAGCATTTGTTCTGTTTTGAATTCGGGGAAGAACCCTTAATAGCATGTCAGGTTTTTTGTTTAACTTTTATAAAAAGGGTTCCCATTCAGCTCTGGCCAAATCTACATAAAATCAGAATTTAATTAAAAACTTATGTTTTTATTTACATATTCCTTATATTGAGTCGAGTGTTGTTTCAAAATAGCTATGAAAGGTGTATGTGAACTTCAAATACCGTTTTCCCCTCTTTGTGTAAGAAAAAACGGTCAGAATTAAGTATGGTCTATGAAAAGAGGGGCTTGCACGTATAAATCCTATAAGGAGTCTAGTATGATACAGTTTGCCTTTGAATAATAATAAACCTAAGAAGCCTCCACCTCTTTCGGTGGAGTTTGGCTAGCGGTGGATCCGTGGATGGCCTCGTGGCGTTCCATTAGTTCCCGCCAGGGATCCTCCAGCATGGAGGGGTGAAAGTACTGTCCAAAGGAATTGTTGCCGCCTTGGTTGCGCTCCCTGTTTTGGTGGTTCCTCGGATTCGGATCCCAGTTCGGTTGGTTCCTGCGGTTGAAGTTGCCGCCCCGTCCGAAATTCCTTCCCTGTCCGTAGGGACGATGCCTCTGCGTTTCCTGCGGTGATTTGTTTTGATAGAAGTGCGGAGTATTCGTTTGTTGTCCCTGTTTGTCCTCGTAAAATCCAAAGTTGGGGTTCTGGGGCTTCTGTTGGCCACCAAACTGCTGGGATCTATAATCTGCGGCCTGCGATGGATACTGGCCACCGCGTGGGGAAAACGGCGGCGGGTGGTTGAAGTTCTTGCGTGGAGTGCTCATCCTGGCGTTTATATTTGGCTACTTAAACCGCAGTTTGCATATTCTTCGAAGAAATGGTAAACAAACGTTTTCAGTATGACCATAGGGGAGTACCTGAAAAATACACCTAAGAACAACAGATGGTTCGAAACTTGGCTAAAAGTTATTATTAGGGTGTCACAAAAATCTCATGAAACCAAAAGTCCCAAAGCCAACCAAAAGCAAATCGCGGTGTCACAGAAACTGTTCCAAAATCATGTACACGGTTTAAAAGTTTTAAATTAAAAGAATTTGTAAACAAATGTTCCCAAAATCAAAGCAAATTTGCTCCGAAACTCTGAGAGATCTCTGTAGATAAAATTTTCTAATAAATTGAAAAAAATTCGATACATTTTTTAAGGTTGATATTGTAAAGCGTAATATTATTAAAATTGGAAAATAGCTATATTTCCCGCTAGCCTCTGTTTTAAAATTTATCATGGTGCCACAGAAACCTCTCTGCGCTTAATTCTGTACATACATATTTCATTCAAATTTTTGTACATATGAATTCAGGCAGAATTCAGCGGAGAGCTGTTTTTGTGGCACCTTTGTATATCTCCTAATAAAGGCCCTATATCTAGTGGTTAAATAGCTAAATTGGCCACAATGTGGAACCATCGATAGTCACCATTGAACATCGATGGTTCGTAAAGTTTCAAAAACATCGATGCGTCGTCCATCGATGCCTCCCCATCACTAATATTTTTGTGTAGCAGCGCGGTCGTCGTGCGGTCGGTCGGCTAAATAAAGTGCATTTAACTGCAGTGGCTCTCGGTTCCCACACTCCGCGCTTCCAGTCCGAGTCTAATGCGCCAGCTAGGCGATATGTAAGCGAATTTCACGCCCCTCGATCGGAAAAACCTGCGAACAGAGCACAAAAGAGGCGTCGCCTGCCGCAGGAGCCTTTCATCGAAATCTTTGTCTTTGTCTGTATTGGTGCATCCGTGTGTCGCTGTGTGTGTGCGCGTGTGTGTGGAAGTGTTTGGTTGTGTGAGTGCCGCCGTTGCACCACCACCAACAACAACAACAGCAACAACAACCAGAAATTGTGTTTTTGCTTACATTGTCAGAAAGAAGTAAATTAAATTATCAAAATTTGAACACAGCAGTTTTACTCTTTCCAAACGTAGAATAAATTACAAAAAAATTAAAGCCAGACAAAGGTAGTTTTCGATCGGCCCAGTTGTTGTGAGCGTTCGAGAGCAGCGAAACAGGCAGCAGCCGCTTTGGATATCTTCAACGGAATCAAAGAGCAACTTTCAAGTTGCCCGGAACGCACCCGTGCCCTTTGCCGGACTGTATGGGGTACCCTCTCGCTGTCCCTTAGCACAGCGCTCCAAGCGGCGACCATCGAGGACGCCATCGGCGGCGGAGGATCCGGATCCAGGGCATTACAGGATCCAGGAGGAGGAGGAGGCGGAGGAGGAGGAGGTGGAGGCAACTCCGTCTCCGGCTCGAGCTCGGGTCGCTTTGCCACCATAATGGGCGCCGTTAAGTCGCGAACCATCACCAGCGCCGATGTGGACGCCGATGAGCAGCTGCAGCATCCCCATCCGCATTCGCATCACCACCACTCGATGCGGAATGGCAACCACCATCAGCACAACGGTTCCATCTCCAGCGGCACGCTGCAGAAGCAGGATCTGCGCTACGACATCGGATGCAGCTCCCAGTACCAGCACGTCCGACAGCCGAGCCTGCGTAGCCGGAGCCAACAGCCCATGCCGACAACGGACGAGCTGGACCGGCGATTCGCCAAAGTTCTGGTAAGATGAGCTACTTAATCCCTTGCACTTCAAGGGCTATTTAATAAAACAACCTTATAAAAACAGCTGGATTCCTTTTTTTTTAACTGTTGAAAAAATACAACAACATTTACTGCGTAAATAAATGATTTTGTTATTTTTTTTTAATTTTAAGTAGTTTAAAAAAAAATTTATTAATTTATTATTTAATTTATGACAAGAAAATGTAATTGCAATTAAAAAATCCTTCATCCTTTATTATTCCTTGTTTTTGGGTTTCATTATCCCAGCAAAAAGTTTTAAAATATTAGATAAAAAGTTAAGCAAAATAAAATAAGTTTCCTAATTTTATAAATGTACAAAAAAAGGATTTTTTAAGTGTGTTTAAAAAAAACATTGCCTAGTTTTTGGAGGAATATACTAAAGGCAAAGTAAAATCCTCTTTTGCGACCGAAATCCTTGTTCGATTGATTGTTTCATAACCAATTTATTAACAAAATTAACAGCAATTAACAGTGCATTTTGTTAATAAATTGGTTATGAAACAATCAATCGAAGAAGGATTTCGGTCGCAAAAAAGGACTTTGCCTTTAGTATATTCCTTTTCTAATAAATTTAAATAATTTAAATCTATTCAGATACCTTGCTAATAAGCTTTTTCACTCGCATCTAAAGTTCAATGTTTATAAGAAATACACCCTTTTCGTTTAGAACCGTGAATTATTTGAATTTCGCTAGAAGAGATTTTTGTTTATATAAAAGCTGCCTGAGAAATTCAGTTTATTAAGCGAATATAGTAGCTGGTATATAGAGGCTTAAGGATTGGCTTCCTGCCCCGGCCCCTGCCCCGCTTTCTTCCGCCCTCGCATTTGTTGCATGTGATTGATGACCTCATCGAGTGTGCGGCGACTTGTTCGCTTGAATTTTTGTCAGCCACTCACACATGTGCGAACGCGAGTGTTTTGATGGTGTTCGTGAGTATCTCTGGGTTTGTATCTGCGCCTCTCCCCAGTTTTACTCGATTCTGTTCCGTTCTGTTCTCTGCTCCGGCTTGCACAACTCCCCAAGCACAGGGCACAGTGGAATGGGTTTCTAAGATCTCAAAAAGGAGTTGGACTCACAAATGCCTCACCTTATTTTATGCTTCTATTTTGTACATAATATCATACTGCTTAGAAAATTGTAAAAGGGAGTTGCGATTTCAAAATGGTAAAAGCCATAAAAAGGATACACTTATTTAAGTATAGATATAGTATAAATAGGTGTTCGGAAACCGATCCTTAAAACTTAATATTTTATTCAAGGGGTATTTGATTATAAAACAAATTTGTAGAATTTTCAAAAAAAATAATGATCTTAAAAAAAATATTTGTAAATATTTTAAAGTTTAAGTCTTAAGTATTCCCCACTGCATGTGTGTGAGAACCACTGTGCTAAAGGCGTGTGCCTGCCATCTAAAAATGTTTGTCATCCAACTGGACGTTTTTTTCCCCGAACAAGACTGCGTAATTAAGATTTTACGAGTAAACATATTGCCAAAAAATAAAACTAAGAATAGAGCGAAAAAAGCTCTCAGCTTTGACCGTCATAAAACCGTAACAAATGATTGTGACCCACAGCCGCCATTTGATTCGGCTCCCTCTGTCCCACTTCGCCCCCCAGAAAAGCCACTCCAATTCGGCATGCTAATGGCAATTAAAGCGAATTGATCGATTGTTGCCCTCTCTGTCGCACTGCAGCGCTGACTCACTGGTGCCGGCGGTACGGGTCCGCTCGCCCAGCCCTCCCTTTCCCGCACTCCACGGCTGAAGCGAAGTGAAGCTGCTGGATGGCTTTGAGATCGCGGCTTATCTCTCTGACGAACTGAACAAAAGGGGAAGAGACGAGAGCAGAAATCTTTATTTATATGCCGCAGCTTGAGTTCTCAGTTATCGGCAGTCAGTCAGTAATATGAGAAATGCTCCTCCAACGGGTTTCCCACTTCTCTGCTCATTTTTGGCATTATACGCATTCTCAAGATCTTTTGTTTTGATCTCAAGGTTGTAAATGCGGTCCTGATGATATGAACAAGGTTATTAATATTATCGTTTTAGGGTACTTGTCTTTGGTTTTATTAAAAATGTTTAAGTATTTAATAATACTTAAACATTTACATTTTGTTTATTTTTATTTCATGGTTGTAAATTGTTTTCTTTATTTTTAAAATTATTTATATCGTTTATAAATATGTCAGAGGATAAACTTCACTACACATTTGTAAAATGTATAAAATCTTCTCTGCACCTTTTTTGGCATTTTATCTTTAGTATGATCTTAAGGTTGTAAATATTTTCGTGCTCATCTCGATAAGGAAGCACCTTTTTATTACCACCACTCCGTTTTTGGTGACACAAAATATCGATTTCGTTGTCAAAGTTGTATATAATTATTACGTCATTTTGATGCCGATTAAGGATATTAAGAAAATTATGAATACCTTAAATTTGTATTATTCTGAAGATTTCCTTTTTTAATTTTTATGTTGACGCTTCAGACCTTAATAGGATAAAGGTCCTTAAAAAGCAAATCTCAAAAAGTCAGTTCTTTTGAACTATATCAAAATATGTTTTCACAAAAGAAATATTTGTCTACCGATCTTATCTACTGCATACCGTAATACCGATTCCGTTGTCATAATCGAATTCAATATTCGATAATTCAAGGGTATTCCAGATATTGACAGACCTTAGATAACATTTTCCCCTCTCCTATTTGTTATTCTTGGTCTATTGTTTGATCAAAATTCATTGCCTTCTTTTCGCACTCAAAGTGTGTGTTTTCGTTTGTTTACCTTTGGCTGTTTTTTTTTGTGTTTTTTTTTGGCCCCTCTGCGTTGTGTTTGTTTGCCATTTCAGTAGCTTTGTGGAGGTGCTGCTATTGCCGGGCCCTGGTGGCCTCGCCCTTGCCTTGTGTCTCCGGCTTGGCTAATTCGTGTTTACCTTAATTTAGTCAAAAGTGCTGCTCGCTGGCCCATTGCCATTGAAGTGGACTTGACTTGACAAACCAGAGACTGCCAGATCCAATGCGCCAATGTCCGCGCCGTTGCCTTTCGATTGAAAGCAATTGTTTGTCTGATTCATGGTTTAAAAATAACAGCAGACCAACAATTTTGCCGCTAATAATTTGCGTTTGGCTGGATCTAATCAGACGCAGTTGGTGCATATGTTTCCGGTTAAATTACGATTCTGCCGCGTGGGTTGATTGAACTTTGAAGAGGGAGGGAAAATCTCCTATGCTTGAGGGGTGCACTATGTAGAGCACCATTCAAGCTGATCAAACAAACGACTCAGAAAATTTTGGTCGAACTGGAAAATATAATAAAATATTTCTTCTTCCATTTTGTTTTAATTAATATAATTATTTTCTTAAAGTAAATCAAAAAAATATTTTTGCATTGGCTTTCTTATCCAAATAAGCCTTATGGATTTATCTCTTGATTTATAATCTACCAGATTCCAGCTGTGACGCCTTCTGTATTTCTTTTTAAGAGTTTAACTGTGTTTATTTACTTATGCACTTTAATTGCTTTAAAATTGGCATCAAGCCAATAAAATCCCCATAGTTTATCCAATTGAAAGTAAAAGCGTATTTATTGCACTGCCAAAGAGCCGGCTTTAAGTATAAATGAATAAAAATGTTAATTTGATTGCATTATTGAAGGCATTAACTTTCAAGAGACTTATCTGCGGTTTATGTTGTGGGTGTCATTATTCACATTCATAGGCATAAATATAGTGAAAGACACAAAGACTAAACCGCATAAAATCCTCATCCCCGATCGCTTACCAGCTTTCTCAAACAAACCAACTTTCACTCGCTTAATCATCGTTGCCCAAGAGTCTTGGGTCTAGAATCTATATCTATAAACAATTGCCTGCAGGGGCGTAGTTAAGGTGAGGTGATTCAGGGTTAGCCGCCTCTCTTAATGACATTTTCAATGGCTGACAAACCGCAATGCAGTGAACCACAACACTTATTGTTGTTAATATTGTTAAGCCCTCCTTGCCCGTGCGAGGGCAGGTTAAATTGTTTGAAATAATAATTAGGCAACATCTTCAGGATTTTAAGGAGCTGTATGTGCATTAGGAATTTCTGTAACTCCCCTGATAAATTAAATCTGTATTGTTTACTTTTTAATTTTACCCTAACTTCTATAACAGCCCTCGGTGCATAAAACGCACATTCAATGGCAATAAATTGATGGCTTTGTTCAAGGCATTGTCCATTTGGATTGCCTTTATCTAACGGCAGCTTAGGCTCTGCAAAAAATATCTGGCTTCCACATTATGCGAACCTCTTTATCTGCCTTGTAGGGCAAACATAAGTTTATCTTTGCTTTTCACTTCCTTTGCGGTCGGCAAAACGACCATAGCGAAAAAAACTGCTAGTGATAAAAACATAAGACCATCTGTTTTTTTTTGCGGAAAATAGTGGATAAATGGTAATCGACTTTAGACTTCATGGGAATCTCATGTAAGATAATAAAACTGATCCAAAGAAAATCGTCTGAGTTTGCAGATCTGACGATTTAAAGGGAGAGCATGTAGAAAACTGAAGAAAATGCATTTCCCTAGCGAAAAATTAGTCATTGTGTTTCGCACGTGCATTTTGAAACGGCATCTTTGAAAATAACAAAAAGATTAAAGGTTGTATTTCCTCAAAAGTATTAAATGCTTCTTAAACGCATTTTGAATAACGTTTTTGTGAATCATGGTAAATTTGAAAAAATAAAGGAGTCTAGAAATATAGTTACTAGCAACGAGGATTAGCATTTTAATTTCATAATTCTTTTGGAAAATTTGTTTTACTGTGAATTAAAATGACGTGTTTGATTGACTCACTGAGCACATGTGTTTACATTTGTTCTGTTGGTGCTCGTGATTCGCATGAAAATCACTTTATAATAGACCATGTGGTTTAATCTTATTATGGGAGGAAATTGATCAATAAAGCTTAAAAAAGATTTTGGTTCTGTTTGTTTTCTTGAAAAAAGGCCCGTGACTAACCTTTAATTGCTAAAAAATTACTAATCTATTAATGTTTTGAATCATTCGATGTAATAAATATATTTTTAAACCTTTTCCTTAGTCATCTTGCATATTTACTGTACATACATCAATTGTATTTTTTCTATAATAAATACATCCAGAGCTTCCATATTTGGCATGAGCGTAGACAGATTCAAATTTAAGGGGGGAGCGCCCAATTATGCACATACACACAAACGCAGATAGAGGGACACAAAAATAAAACAAACTTAAAATGCGTATCCGGTTGACGGTCAAGTAATTCATTATATACACCGTATGTACATCGTGTCCAATTTATATAGTGAATTTTCGCTTTCTGGCTTTCTGAGCCTGTCTGCCCTGGCATAAATATTGAAGAGAGCTCTCGTCTTTGTCACCTTGTTTATTATTCTCTCTTTTTATGCACTCTTTTATTTACTTATTTATTGTTTTGTTATTATGAAAAGCGCGTCGAGGCAAATCACTCAGCCTGATGGGTTCAGACCGTAACGGACAATGGACTGGGAGTGGATTCGAAGGGGATGATGGGAGTTGGGGCCCAGTGGCTCACCCATAACATTACAATTAATTAATCAATAAATTTTGCAATCATTCTCGCATTTATTCACATTCCTCTGGGCATGGGAAATATATTACACTTATATTTAGCAATGAGCACGTATAAAAAATTAACAAAGCCAAAAGTTAAGATAATTGTAATAATTGCTTAGCTTAATTAACACTGGGATAAACTGCGGAGCTCCATGTAAATTTGCAGTAATTGAATGAGAAAAAATATTGTAAAAAAAATTCATTATCATCATCTTGGGAATAAAACAAGGAAATTGAGAACCGAGTATGAAAAAAGATTAAATATTTTCTGGCCTTAATATATTTATAGTTTTAATCTTAATATATTATAATCTGTAGAGGTGAATATCAGATTAAATTTGCTTATTTCATTTAATATGCTTAATGTTAAATGGAAATTTTAAGTCAACAAGCATTTGTGTTGAATGTAATACATAATAATAATAAATAGAAATATAGTTTTATAAAATATACTTAATGCAATTTATTTTAAAAGAAAATAATTTTTCGTGCACAGGTTTTATTATATTTTACCACGTTGTAAAAATTACATTTTTTTAAGGTTATAATTAATTCTATTGATGATTTATGCATTTCAACGCACTAAATACATTTCATTCAGAATATGCATCCAATGTTATGGGGTATACCTACACTTTGCATTTGTCCGGAGTCCCCTTCATCTTTACCACTCCCTTTTCCTGCTGTCGTCCCATTTATTGAGTGTGTGTGTGCCTCTAATTAGAACTTCCAACTGCAGCTGCACCCATAAAAAGGAGAAAAAGTGGAAAAATTAAATTGAAGTCACGTAAGCATATTTGCCGATTTCATTATTGTGCATTCCCTCCCGTTAAATTGTACATTTAACCATTTTACACAATCGTCTGCAATTGACCAGGTAAATTGGTTCTGAGTATTTGATTTTTCTTTGTGGTTCAGTGAGTTGCAGTTTAAATCTGAAAAACATGTCACAATTGACTGGTTTGTGTTTTTATAGAGGCATATATTCTCTTTTTATATATATGATCCCTGGTTATGGTCAATTGTGTCGTTTAAATTTTGAAGAAAGTTTATCTCTAAAATATAATTTAGGAAGTAGAGCAAAACCTTGTCGCCTCTTTGAATATTTTCCGTTTTTGTTGTCATTTCTTTATGGCGTGGTGACTCTCCTTCAGTAATCTTCTGATCAACCATCAGCAACTGAACTAATTCAATATTTACATGAGCAGGCAAACAATGCACTGGTGAAATAACTTCAGAGATGCAAGACTGGAGACCTTAATGGGCCATAAAAAGGGGGTATTCGGGTTTTAATGGGCTTTCCAATTGGCTGAGTGCCATTTCCAGCTTTTACCATTTTAAATAAATATCTCTGTTTATATATCTGTTTATCTGAGGATCAACACTTACGAATTTGTCTCTCTTCTTTCTATATCTTTTTGCAACAGGCTTCGATGGACTTGCCACCGGATAAGGCAAAGCTACTTCGTAACTATGATGACGAGAAGAAATGGGACATGATATGTGATCAAGTAAGTAATAAATAATATATTATATAATTAAAAGGCATTTTTCGTTAAACAAACACTTTAATAAGTTATTAAAGAAGAACGAATGTTTTGGAATCTTGATATACACTTTAAGTTTATATTTTAAAAAATTTATGAGTTATCCATTTTATGCTTGCTTCTAAAAAAAGTGCATATAAATTAAAATTCTAAAAATTATGAATTAAAAATAATTTAATAGTCATAAATACCACATTACGTGTAGATACGATGTAGATAAATAAAATTAGATTATTTATTTGCGAAATGACTTATTTTTTTATACATAATATAGTTATTTTTTGTGTGTGCTTTACTTATTATTCTTAAATATTGTGATTAATACAGACTTTTTTAAAAATTGTATCATAATTTTTGCTAAAAACACATGTTATCAAAGTATGAACTTCCTGCTAGCATTTCGCAGATTATAAGCAGTTTAAGTCCCAGCTGAGTACTTTGGACCCTCTTTGGTCGCAGTACATAGGGCAATAGTGGAAAGTTATCAGCAGTTTGTTCTTAAACAATTGATTTCTTCGAAATGCACATATGTGATAATAGTATAGGCTGAAGCATACGTAAACACCATATTATCAGGTATTTTTCTGTTGATTTCTACGAAAATCCGATGATTAAAACTTTAAACATCTAAAATTCTTTAAAGGTTACGCACATTTAATGAGCTATCCAATATAAAACTTAATAATAATTTATATTTAAATACGACTTATAAATAAATAACCTTAAATAACACGTAAGCTATGTAACTAGACTAAAACGTAAAAAAATCGTTTTGTATCTAAAAGTTAGACTTAACTTTAGAAATATGTTGCATTGTTTACATCCGACAGTTGGTTAAGAACGTTAGCTGAACTGGCATAAATAAATTGTAGGAAAGGTGTTTAAATATATGTCTCTGTCTGTCTAGATAGATAATTATATATATGCACCGTGTATCAGCTTTTTCAATCATTATGCAGTGCGTGCTGTTTTGTCGCTCGCGCTTTTTGATGTATTTTTTGTCTTCTGTTTTTTTTTTTGCCGCTTTGCTCACCAGAGTGTTTAATGATTTAAATTCGCTTGCTGAATCCAAAGCGCCGAAACATTTCGGCAACGAGAGCGGCTCTAAATTGCTTTAGAATAGGGCAGTAAATTGTATATGTACGAGTGTTATATGGTATATGGACAAATCCAGATTGCGTGTTTTTTTCACTACTGCTGTTTTTGGAATATGACGAAACTATTAACGTGTGCGCCAGAGCGTGCCCCTCTTTGGTGGATTCTATCTATCCATCCATCCAACCAGCTATCTATCTATCCATCTCACTTGTAACTGGGTCACTGAATTTTCAAGAGCTGCACCTAGGAAAATAACAACGGAAAACAACGGCGACGCCAAGCATAATATATTCGCCATCGGCATTTTGGTGGAGTAGCTCTCGAAAACAAAAACATAAAAAAAAACACCAAGGAAGGAATGCTCAACACTCTTCGAAAGCCTGGTACTCGCGTCAAACATTTTCTGCCATACGATAAAATATCATAAACACCCAACACGGTTCGTCGTTGTTGCTGCTGTTATTCCTACGACTATTGTTGTTGTCTCCGACGACGTCGCCGGTTCCTTAACCGCCTGCATGCCTGCAGCTGAGACCTGTTTTCCATAATTCAGGCCCACTGCACTGTGGATCATGTATTGGAAATTGGTAAACTAAATCCATTAGATGTGAAATTAACAGCGGAAAAAAATTTACCATACCAAGTTTAGTAATAAGACGATAAAGGTTTTGAAATCCTAATGGTAATCAAACTTGCCTAACCAAAATTTTAATTTTTTCACACAATCACTAGTGGCCAAGTCATAAAATTCATGAGATCACGCATTCTTAAAGTTTTGATCCATATTAAAAGCGTAATATTTTCAGTAAAAATGTATTACGATAACTTATAAGTGGAATAAAACAATAGCGTGATTCATTGGCAGTGTAAGCGTTGTTTAAATATAATATGGTGTAATTACGTAAATCACTATGGACGGCAGTCCATGTAGTGACGAAGCGCACCAGGAGAGTGTGCGAAGGCGACTACTATTATATAGCCGCAAAATTGAAAATCGGCAGTGATAGTCCGATCGTAATGAGTAATACACCAATCGAAAGGTATTGCAAAAACTTAAAGGATTGCATACCAAGACTTTAAGAAAATCAATTGGCTTGGGAGAGAGAGCGGTGAAAGTGAAAAATTGAAAATTTCGAAATTTGGAGCTGTTGGGGCCGGTGGGGATAAATGCCCCCTCGCAATGTTTTAGTTGTATTCCTCTTGAAAATACCCGTCGAATGAGGGATCATTTGTCAAAATCCGACTCTCCGTTCAAAAGTTATAGCCAAAATAAGATTTTCTTCTTCTTCCCAAAATGAAAATTAATTTCTGTTTGTCCACTTGTCCACTTGTCCAAAACATGTTTTTTAAGTTTTGAAAATTTTATATGACGTTCATCACATCGATATAAAAAACTTTTGTTCTACCACTTTTGGAAAAACTCGCTAGTTTAGCGGGAAAACAGCTATAAATAGCTAAAAATCGGAAAGCCGTAACTTCTATACTACTAAAGCTACAGACTTGTGCTGCATCTCGTTTGAAAGGTATTTTTAAATGCTATAAACGCCTTCTATATGCAATTTGTGTAAATGTAATAATTAAAAAAATATGAACAAAAGACAATTTTTTAAAACTTTTTTTTTAGCTTTTTTTATTTTTCTCAAAAACGGCTCTAACGATTTTCTTTAAAACCTTAAACTGTATAGCCCTTGAGATTCCTTAAATTTTGGTATATAACACATTACTGTAAAAAGTCACGTTTAAAAGTTATTTTTATACGAAAATAGCCACTTTTGCCAGCTCGAACAATTAACGCTCCCTGAGTATTGAATTTTGTGGGAGGGTATCCGAACTGTATTTTAGGGTCATGGAATCAGTAAATTTGCACTTAAGAGTTCCATATAGGAATCTTTTGTTCTACGACTTTTGGAAAAAGCCGCTACTTTAGCGGGAAAATAGCTAAAAATGGCTAAATTTCGTTAGTTTTTAAGTTCTACACTACTAAAGGTACAGACATGTGCTATACCTCGTTTAAAAGGTATTTTGAAATACTTCAACGCCTTTTTAACTTAATTCGTTAAAATACAATAGTTTAAGAATTATGATTTATGACCAATTTAAATTTAAATGTTTATATTAGCACCTATGAGAGCAAAAGTAAACAAACAAAAACTTCTGATATCAAATAAAAACACCTCTTAACGAGGTAAAAAACTAGTGACGATCGCACCTTCAACGTACAAAAGTTCTGATATCAACTTTTGTGACGAAAAATAATTTTAGATGCGACTAAATAAGTACGCTACCTAAAATTTATTCATTCGGCACGCTAAAACAGAAAAACATTCGTGTAGATATTAAATATTTGCTAAAGCGGGCCGAACGAGTAAATTTTAGGTAGCGTACTTATTTAGTCGCATCTAAAATTATTTTTCGTCACAAAAGTTGATATCAGAACTTTTGTACGTTGAAGGTGCGATCGTCACTAGTTTTTTACCTCGTTAAGAGGTGTTTTTATTTGATATAAAACAAGTCATGGAACCTTATATGAAGGAATAAATCATTAATATTTTGGAAAAAACTGGTTTCTTTTAATAAAAAAGTTGTAATTGTTAAGTTTACTATCATATCCTTAGTCCACTGTTCCACTCTAACTTAGTCTAGTCATGAAAATGAATGAAAACGCAGCCCACTGACAGACGGACCGGCAGACAATGGGACGGACAGGTCCGGTGATGATGGTGGGATGGTGGAGGCGAAGCTAGCCACTCGAGGACGTAAAGTGAAGTGGGGCCAATCCCATGGACTCGGTCCTCGCCATCTTCCTGTCTCTGTTCCCCAGTTGCTCTTCGTGCTCACAGTGACAAAATGCAAATTATTATGACGGCGATAAATTGCAGTTTTTAATCGTTGGAGCCGCTTGCAGCGGTTTACATATCCGTATACGTATAGGAATATCTGCGGTTGTATTACTGCCGATATTTCTCTCCTGCCCTCCTCGACTGGGTAAAAGAATCAAACTGGTTTTTCTCTAGCTGCAGTTCGAACCCAAACCCAAAGCCAAAAACCCACACATAGTTTGGGTTGTAGTCATGCGTTGGCTGTTGGTGCTGTTTTTGTGGCTTTTGGTGGCTGCCTTAGTTGTTGGCATAGTTAAACAAAACCCAAAAAACAACAACAACAAACAGACGCAAGCCAAAACAAGTATACCACGCTTCATGCTTAAAAATGTTTAAAGTTAGGAAAGCCATCGATGCTTATGTGATCGGGGGAACCAAGATACCACCGGGGGGTGTGGATTGCGGTAACATAAACATGTACAAAAATATGCAGTTAAAGCACAGAAAGAAAAACAAAAGTAAAAGCCGCTAAGTCTCGGTCTAGTGTTAATGCATGTGGAATCGCATGAAAATCCCCGATCCTCCTCTAGTTGCCCGATCACTGGCAGTTCGTTGAACAGCGACTTGGGTAACTCCGCCGAAGATGATTTCAGTCGCAATTAATGTGATAGAGGGAGCAATTAGTAATTAGGAAGCGAATATAGTATTTCTGGAGTTTGTGTAGCTGTAAATAATTGCTTTAGAAAGCGTCAATATATGCAATCTAAAAGTTGACAGTATAAAAACATTATTTAGTTAATCCAGCTGCTCTCGTTTTTTACAACTTTATTGTGTAAATGTATTTTAAAGATCGAAATTATGGTTTATTTGACCTTTGCCACCTGTCATTCAACTGTGTAACTCAAAATCAATTAAGATAAAGTTCAGTCGTTCAACAAGTTTTTCTGCTCAATGTGTGAATACCATATTAAACAAACATTCTTGAAAATATCAATAAAACTTGGATATTTTTATACCTACGTAAATCTTGATAAAATGTATATTTTCTTAAAATTTATTTATTTTTTATTTTCAATATTTTTAGGAAATGGTGCAGGCAAAGGATCCGCCCTCACATTACTTGAGTAAACTGCGAACATATTTGGACCCAAAGGCGTCACGGAGTCATCGGGTACGTTAAATTCCTAATTATAGATCATCTCTAGCTTCCTGTAGTTGTTTCTAAAATGTGGTTTATGGTTGTCTTTTAAATTAAAACTAAGTTAAGAATGAACTCTTTATTCAACTATTGGCCCAAGCTAATGAAAAACCAAAGTTAATAACCCTTCTTGAAATCGAAATCTGTTGTTCCAATATTAATGTGTAAATTTCATTTCTCTACTCACAACACTGACAACGCACCACGATCCACGATTCCCACACTCTTCTTTTTCCCGTTTCTCCCGATCTTTCTCTCTTTATTTGTTTACCTCCTGGCTCCTGCACAATCCTGGTCCTCCCGCTGTTGAATCCGCATCCTGTCGCCTGTTTCCGGCCGTCGTCCTGTCTTCCTGTCATCCCGTCATCCCATCCTCCACTCTCTCTCTCTTTGTACACTTACAGCTTTATCTCTTCTACTTTCTTTGTCAGAAACGAAAAATGGTCGGCGAGTCCACATCCACCCAGGTGCTCCGGGATCTGGAGATCTCGCTGCGCACGAACCACATCGAGTGGGTGAAGGAGTTCCTGGATGACACGAACCAGGGTCTGGACGCCCTGGTCGACTATCTCAGCTTCAGGCTGCAGATGATGCGGCACGAGCAGCGCCTCCAGGGTGCCCTGTGTGCCTCCGAGGAGCGCTTGAATCTCACGAGCGGCGGCGATGGCGGTGAGATGGTGTTGGGCAACAGTAGTTCCCTAAGTCCAGGCGGTGGAGGTGGAGTCATGTCCCACGGCAGCAGTACAGGTCATGGTCTGGCCAACGGGACGCTGGATTCGAGGCAGCAGCACGGAAACACGTTGTCCTATGGATTCCTGCGACCCACCATTTCCGATGCCCTCGACAGTCCCAGTTTGAAGCGGAGGTCTCGGCACATTGCCAAATTGAACATGGGTGCGGCTACGGACGACATCCATGTGTCCATTATGTGCCTGCGTGCCATTATGAACAATAAGTATGGCTTTAATATGGTCATTCAGCATCGCGAGGCCATCAACTGCATTGCGCTGAGTCTCATCCACAAGTCGCTGAGGACGAAGGCCCTGGTTCTGGAGCTGCTGGCGGCCATTTGCCTGGTGAAGGGCGGACACGAGATCATCTTGGGTTCGTTCGACAACTTCAAGGACGTGTGTCAGGAGAAGCGGCGCTTCCAGACCCTCATGGAGTACTTCATGAACTTCGAGGCCTTCAACATAGACTTCATGGTGGCATGCATGCAGTTCATGAACATAGTGGTGCACTCGGTGGAGGACATGAACTACAGGGTGCATCTGCAGTACGAGTTCACGGCTCTGGGCCTGGACAAGTATCTGGAGCGGATTCGACTGACAGAGTCGGAGGAGCTGAAGGTACAGATCTCCGCCTATTTGGACAACGTCTTCGATGTGGCCGCCCTGATGGAAGATTCCGAGACGAAGACCTCGGCCCTGGAGCGAGTGCAGGAGCTTGAGGATCAGCTGGAGCGGGAAATCGATCGGAACTCTGAGTTCCTCTACAAGTATGCCGAACTGGAGTCCGAGAATCTTACGTTGAAGACGGAGCGAGAGCAGCTGGGCATGATACGGCAAAAGCTGGAGGAGGAACTGAATGTCCTGCAGCGGATGTTGCAGCACAACGAGCAGGAGCTGAAGAAGCGGGACACCCTTCTGCACACGAAGAATATGGAGCTGCAGACGCTCACACGCTCCCTGCCGCGCTCCGCCTCCAGTGGGGATGGCTCTCTTGTGAACGGTGGCCTCCTGGCTGGTTCCACTTCGGGGGCAGCCTCGCTAGCCTTGCCACCACCTCCGCCTCCAATGCCCGCCTCACCCACAATGTCAGCTGCTCCTCCTCCGCCTCCGCCGCCAGCCCCACCGGCTCCTCCACCGCCGCCCATGATGCCTGGCTTCAGTCCGTTGGGCAGTCCGAACGGTAGCCTCACCTCGACGGCGCCGTCGCCACCGCATGCCCCGCCCATGCTTGGCTCCTTCCAGCCACCACCGCCCCCAGTAGCGGGCTTTATGCCCGCTCCCGACGGCGCCATGACCATCAAGAGGAAGGTGCCCACCAAATACAAATTGCCCACCTTGAACTGGATAGCACTGAAGCCAAATCAGGTGAGATTTGAAAGGATCATGTCGTACACTCATAAAAATTAATTTCTAAATTTTAGAAATCATGCCATTAAATCGGCCTACCTTTGAAAATAGAAAAACAATTTCTTGTTTTTAGAAAATTTGCCTTTGAATATAGAAAACCTTTCTAGATAAAAAAAAAAATTCAAGAAAGAATTTTCTAGATTTTAAGGACATTTTTCGATATTTTTTATGAGTGTATATACTTCTTTACTAATAAATATTTTACTTATCAAGGTGCGTGGCACGATCTTCAACGAGCTGGATGACGAGAAGATCTTCAAGCAAATCGATTTCAACGAGTTCGAGGAGCGATTCAAGATCGGCATTGGCGGCGCCTTGCGCAACGGCAGCAGTGGAACCGAGGTCGATGGGTCGCTGCAGTCCAGCAAACGCTTCAAGAGGCCCGACAATGTCTCGCTACTGGAGCACACGAGGTTAAGAAACATTGGTGGGTAATCGGCATTCACTCACTTATCGGTAGATCAACTGACCTTTCTATGTTACCCTCAGCAATCTCCCGTCGCAAGCTGGGTATGCCCATTGACGATGTCATCGCTGCCATCCATAGTCTGGACCTGAAGAAACTCTCACTGGAGAACGTCGAGCTGCTGCAGAAGATGGTGCCCACGGATGCCGAGATCAAGTCCTACAAGGAGTACATCATCGAGCGCAAGGACCAGCAGCTGCTCACCGAAGAGGACAAGTTCATGCTGCAGTTGTCGCGAGTGGAGCGCATTTCGTCCAAGCTGGCCATCATGAACTACATGGGCAATTTTGTCGATAGCGTTCATCTCATTAGTCCGGTGAGGAAATACAAATACGGGCTTATAAGCAAAAAAATTTATAGGAGATACGATTTCTATGGATTATTGCTTATCCAACTGTCAGCTGAAGCTCTATTTTGTTTGGTTATTTTTTCGCACAATAAGAAAAAATATATCTCGTGCCTTTGTTTATTTAAAAATTACAATACAATCAAATTGTATTCTAAAGAAGAAAAGAAAGAAAATCATCAATTTTTCCATGTTATACAAATAGCCATTTTTTTTTTTCCATTTTCAGCAAGTGCAATCGATAGCAGGAGCTTCGACTTCCCTGAAACAATCGCGGAAATTCAAGGCGGTTTTGGAAATAGTCCTAGCTTTTGGCAACTATCTCAACAGCAATAAGCGGGGACCAGCCTACGGCTTCAAGCTGCAATCGCTGGACACGCTGATCGATACGAAATCCACGGACAAGCGATCATCGCTGCTTCACTATATTGTGGCCACCATTCGGGCAAAGTTCCCGGAGCTGCTGAACTTCGAGGGCGAGCTGTATGGCACAGACAAGGCTGCGTCGGTGGCACTGGAGAATGTGGTGGCCGATGTCCAGGAGCTGGAAAAGGGCATGGATCTGGTACGCAAGGAGGCCGAGCTGCGGGTGAAGGGTGCTCAGACGCACATTCTGCGCGACTTCCTTAACAACAGCGAGGATAAGCTGAAGAAGATCAAGAGCGATCTGCGGCACGCACAGGAAGCCTTCAAGGAGTGCGTGGAGTATTTTGGTGACTCTTCGCGGAATGCCGATGCGGCTGCCTTCTTCGCGCTGATCGTACGCTTTACAAGAGCGTTTAAGGTGAGTCAATTTGTAGAGATCTTCGTAAAAACCTTACTTATGCAGTAACTTTATTAATTTTAGCAACACGATCAGGAGAACGAGCAACGTCTTCGACTGGAGAAGGCCGCTGCGTTGGCCGCTTCCAAAAAGGAGAGCGACCAGGTGCTTATGCGCAACAAGGTTAACCAGAAGAAGCAGCAGGTGAGTGGCGGACATCGACCACGAAGCGCAAGCCATTAGTCCCTTCATCTCAGGGTGGCCAAGTCCCTCGAATCGGGTCCCATACAACTAATCTCTTATTGCACATATCCTTTCAAACCCCATAACCTGTAATGATTTGTTCTGATCTCGTTTGATTTGATTTATGCAGCAAATACATTGCCTGCTCGACTTTGCCAATCAGCAGCAGACGCAGCTTGTACAGTCGTAGCATCCACCCCACCGGCAACTTCCTCAATCTAAGCACGTTAACTTGGTTATTTGGTTGACTCACACAAATCACACCACACTCTGTCTTATACTCAACTGGGGATGGGAATTCGAGGGGACTTGGTCTCAGCCCGTGCCCCAAATCCCCGCTAAATCCATCACAAAAAAAAATATCGAACCACCATCCTCTACCACCTAGTTGTTGCCCTTTGTGGGCGGCATGTGACGGGATTTGTTTTGTGTAAAGTTCCCACATTAGCGTAAGTCGCCTGGCTTGTCTCTACATGTCTCCTAACACTGTGTTTGTTCAAACTAATCCTCCCCTATTGTGTTGCCTAATCCCCGCTAATTCCCTTGATAAATCCAATCCACTTTGACTGTGATCTCACATGTGTGCCTTTCCACATTTTGGATTCGTGCCAGGAATTGCACGCAGCCAAATGTTTTGATGTTTAAATGTTCTTTAAAATTGTTGTTTAATACCTTTAAAAATTCATAATACATTCGAAATATCATAGATATTACATTCCGAAATTTTTTAAAATTTAAATAAGTTTATTTATTTAAGTTCAAAAATATAATTAATAATGTAGTTTTTTTTTATTTAAGAACAGAACATAAGGTGTTCAAATTAAGATCCTATAAGTCGCTACTCTACCCAAAATTATATCCTTTTAGCCATAAGTTTCTGTTCCTTGGTAATGGTTTACAGTGTCTAATGCTAACCTTTTTCTTTTTCTCTAATCCCACTTCGGCTTGACCTCGCTCTGCTACCAAAAACCCAAAAAAATGCAAACAGTTGCCCTCAAACGGCGCGTTATCCTTACAGGACGCAGTCATAAACGAGCTGAAGAGCAAGGCGCACTCGGTGCGCGAAAAGAAACTACTGCAGCAGGATGAGGTGTATAATGGAGCCCTGGAGGACATCCTGCTTGGGCTGAAGAGCGAGCCTTACCGGCGGGCAGATGCAGTGCGGCGGTCGCAGCGCCGGAGGATCGACAATAATCGTCTATCGCGCACCCTGGAGGAAATGGATTGCTAGACAGGAAATCAGGATCGACGCAACGACGACGACGGGGCAATGGCAACGAATCGAAAATCAAAATTCACACTGAAACAGAAACGGAAAGAGAACATTACAGATACTGCAATATGTGATTGGGCGATTAAATTGTTTTCGACACACTCGTACACATACACAAACTCACATTCCCTTCCATACAAATCCTTTTACTTTCGAATATTTTCCAATTTAACGATAAGAACCCCACAATCCCAATCTCCAAACGAACTTATAGCACCGACAACCACAAGCAAAAGATCCCTTCTGTGAATCTCGCCTTAAATTTTGAGAGACATTTTTTATCGCCAAAATTTTGTTTTTAAAAACGCATTTTAATTTGGTTGCTTAGAGCTTAAGTTGAACTTGAAAATTCGAATGGTGTATTTATCAAATCTTTTATTGTTAAATAATGATTTAAATTTTAACCTGTGTACATATATATACAAACATATATATTTAACTATATATGTTCTATTTAATTTTATTTTATTATACTTAAGTTTTAACCAAATTTGGAATAGCTTGCTGCATCCATCCGAGATGGCAAATCCGCATGAATATGGAGGACCAAACTCCACACTTTAATTAATTGTATCATTTTAGTAAGTCAAATAAGCAATGAATTGTATGAGAGATATAAAGCATTAAACTTTTGTATATTTTCCCATTTAAATTATCTTTAATGTTATTTTTATTTGTTTCACTCCGCACACAGCCAGCTACGAAAGTCCAAACGAAGCGCCAAAATATTGCATACAAGAAGAAATCATTTTTAGAATGTTTTACACTTAAAGAACTACACATTTTATACAATTTTATTAGAATTTTTATACAAAGGATATATAAAACTATATTAACAGATATTCCATTTATAAGCCAATTTATTCTCACGAGCCACAACAAATTGACGAAGACTGATATTGAGCAGTTTACTATAAAGCAGAAAAAAAAGAAGTCACGCAAATATAATTATTAAAAAGCTTTTGTAATCTCTTTCGGATAGTGTCTTCTCTCGATATATACGTAGATATATATTTAAAAAATGCAATAACGAATTTAGTTGAACTATAAGCACAGTTTTATTGTATTTACATATTTACAAGTGCCATTGGCATCCTTATGCATATCCTTTCAATATCTTGTTCTCTTTAATTTGCCAAAAGAAGGAAATAGCGCAAACTAAGACGAGGGCCCAGCGTTTTAATGCAAACATACACGATTAGCACGCTCTGCATTGTTAGTTCTTAAATATTGTGTTATTTAATTTGATAAGACGCCAGCATGGTATACGACAGACGAAAGAGAAGGGAAACGATATATAAAATATAAAATGCCGGATTTTTTGTACACACATTTACACGACTATATTGAACACTCGAACTATTTTAAATAAATTATTATTAACCCAATAAACTAGCCAAAACAAAAGCTGTGTTTTTCTTTATGACATACATATAAATATTGATTAGGAACAGGCAGCACTGGTCGCTGAAAGAATTACCCCTGGTCCTGCTATTTTAAAATATGATTGTCTTTAAAAATATTGGAGAATCGCGATCGTGTCAAAAGAAACTTATAAAATTTCTGGAGAAATCACGAAGACAAAGGTTAAAGGTCCATTGTGTGCATTTTATTTACTATTCTGAAATTGGTTACAAAATAAAATCTGTAAATTGAAATTGAAATTGTTAGATTGCTAAATTGATGGAGTTTTAACAGAAGATTTTAGAATTGAACGAATGACGTTCATTGGTCCTATTTAATTTTGAAAAAGGTGTGATAAAATGTATAGTTTGTCCGAGCCACAATAATTTCTAAGATTACTTTTTAATGTTTGGTTACTTTTTTAAATGATTAGTAAGCTATAAATCTGAAAACATGCCACCTACTTTGAGTTTCGAGTAAATAAGACGTACATCTATGGCTTTCAACGACTTAATAGCTTAGCGGTTGACGAATTGTAATATTTAAAGAGTCACAGAACTTTTTAAAAAACGCTCGTAATTCCAACGGCTGCAGCAGCTACTGCGGCCAGTGGGAACCGGCTGTAAACGGGCCATCTCTAATCAGCTGTTTCACCTGTTGCAAGTATCGGCTCAGCTGACTCAAATTTGTCCATCCCTAATCAAGCAAAAGTAAATTCCGCAGAGAGCAGCCGTCCAGAGTGCAAAATGATTTAAACCGGGAGGGAGCGCATAGGTTCGCACACGCCCACGTCGAGAATGTTCAAACGCACTTTTAAGGTGGTTTATCGGCCCATCAGGAGCAACTTTCTGCTCTTGCCGGACCAGTACTACGGCGTCGTTTCGACCTATGTAAGTGTCCAAAAGTCAATTCTCCCGGCAGATTAGATAAGTGAAAGATTAATCCGGCTAACCATTCTGATTAGGACACGGGCTGCCTCAGCTTGCAGTACAACGGACGGGTGCACTACGCCTCCTGGGCGCCACAGGCGGGCGGGGGCGGCATCAAAGACACCGAGATTGGGATCAATGCCAGGGCGGCCAAGGAGATCGGTAAGGCATTACTTAACGACCGGATGTGCAGCGATTGCCAATGTGCCGTAATATTGGACTCCGGCCATCTGCCCCTCTGCATATCTCGCATACTAACCCATTCTTGCCGTAGGTCTGCACGAGAATGATCTGGTCAAGTGTGCGCTCATCGCTGACGTTCTCAACCTGAAGACCGTCCACGTTACCCCCGTCTCGTCCAAGGACTGGGAGATCATAGTGAGTGACGGTTTCGCCTGCCTGATGGCGCGTTCGGCGATCAGCGGTCAGCTTAAAAATAGACAAGTCCGTTTATATCGGATTAGCATTTGGCGCGGGCGTGCGCTTGGTCTTTATTTAAACTGCCATTGCTTCGCCGGCATTGCCATTGACCCGCTGATTTGATTTAATTTGATTAACTAATTAATTAGGCGCTAATCAGATTTCCGTTTATATGGGAATACGTTCCTTATCAAAGATTTTATTGTTTCCGATTATATGATGTACAATTTATTTAGATTTTAAGTTAGTTAAAACCATCATAGCTTCAATTTCCTTGAAAAGAGGTCCGTAAACTTTAAGTTTAACTTTTCAAAAAAAAATGTGGGTCATCCACAAAATTTGGGTCTATAGTAGGATTCCGTAATGCTTAAAATCACAATTAAGAGATGCAAATATAAATCAAGAAGAAACGTAGGCTTTATATTTAGGGTGTTCAATTGCGTTGCAAACGTTGTAAAGTGTAAAAGTGTAAGGCAGTTCCAACAACAATTTCTATACAAAATAGTTTTCAAAAGTAGGCCTTTAAAACTATTTTGTATAGAAATTGTTGTTGGAATTGATATACACTTTTACACTTTACAAAGTTTGCAACGCAATTGAACACCCTAATTGAAAATAATCCTATAGCAAAAACTTATTCCATAAACAATTTTTTAAATAATGTACATACGATCATTTATTATAGCTGTCACATTAAAAAAGTGACGAAACTTTAGTCATAAAAGATAATTTTAGCTCTTCAGTGAATACCGCCAACATAATTTGTATAGAGTATATTATTAAAAAGATTGCCAAGAAATGTTTTCAAAAGGAATCTTTTGGCTTAACTTAAGGCTGCGTACTTAATAATACTTAATAAAATATATTTGCTTTTTCAGGAACTTAGCACCGAAAAGATCTCGGGCAGTGTGCTGGAGCAAACCCGCATTGTGAACTCCACCCAGATACTAATAGTTTGGATTAACAAGTCCATGCAAGTGGCGCTGACAGTGGGTAAATATTCGCCATCCAATAAACATATTTTCTATTTATTTTGATTTTACTTGATTAGATCGCCTGAAGCCGCACATGAACTATGGCAGGATAGATCACAACACGGAACTCGTGGTGGCTCCCAACCTTTACAAGGGACTCAGCAATGGAATTTCGAATGGTGCTGTCGAGGAGAACTCGAAACTGTCTAGGAGTAAAACCACTGCCCAAGTTAAGGATGACCTGGCTGAGAAGCCAACGCCCCTGACTCATTCCTCGACGGTGTCCAATGTGAAGAACACGCTGCAGCGCAACAAGCGACAGGATCATATGGAGCGCCTGAAAAAGGATCTGCGTAGGGAAAGCTCGCGAAGCTTCGAGTTCCGTGTGATCCGAGGTCTTTGGCGGGAGCGGGCTCAAGAGTCGGATGTCTATGTCAACCGGAAGCATCTGCCTGAGTTCTTCGATTTGGATCTGTTCTACTGCATGCACACTGCCGGTGACAAGGATTATTACGTGAGGGTTCGCACCCTGGAGGAGGATGTCGAGGATGATATACCCGGCACCATTCATCCCTCGATCGAACTGAATGCTAATCTGATGAAATTGCTGGGCATCAAGGAACTGGAACGCGTTGTGCTAAGGCCCAAAACAACTGTGGTTAACTTTGTGGAGAAAATTGAGCTGTTTGCCAATAAGAAAACGCACTACAAAATCATGGAGAATGCATTTAAGCGGTTTGTGATAGAGAGAACTCAACAGAAGCCGATGCTCTTCAACCAGGAGGAGGTGGTGCGGCTCGAAGACGATCTGCTGGTTACTGTCGGCATCCTGCCAGAGCATTTTCGTTACTGCGTGGTGGACGCTCAGTTTCTGAAGGAGTCCAAGATCTATGCTGCGGATCTGGTGCGCCCGGTTAGCGAGATTATTAAGGAGCAGACGCTGCCGACTTCGCCACTGAGTGTCCAGGATCTCATACAGTTGCCGGAGTACGATAAGATTCTAGATCAGGTGGTTCAAGAGCTGCGCATGAATTTATGCCTAAATGCGGATAACTCCGTGATGCGGCAGTGCAATGTCTTACTTGCAGGTGCGTCGGGAACCGGCAAAACCGTTCTTGTTGAGCGAATTCTGGACCAGTTGTCGGGCAAGCCGGATTATTGCCACTTTGAGTTCTTTTACGGATCACGAAGCAAAGGACGCAAGACGGAATCCATTCAAAAGGATCTGCGCAACATCTTCACCAGTTGTCTGCAGCATGCACCTGCCATCGTGGTGCTGGAGAACTTGGATGTGTTGGCCCATTCCGCTGGTGAGCAGTCCAGTCAGGATGGCGAGTACTACAACCGAATGGCGGACACTGTGCATCAGTTGATTGTCCAGTACACCAGCAACAATGCCATCGCTGTGATCGCTACCGTTAATGAGCTGCAGACACTCAACAAGCGATTAAGTTCACCCAGAGGCCGACACGTCTTCCAGACAGTTGCTCGTCTGCCCAGTTTGGAACGAGCAGATCGAGAGATAATCCTTCGGGAGCTCTGCAGCCACATCAATGCATCCAAGGATTTGGATCTTGTGAAGTTCTCCAACCTCACGGAAGGATACCGAAAATGTGATCTTGTCCAGTTCGTAGAGCGTGCAATATTTTATGCTTATCGCATAAGTGAGTATTTTAGTAAATTTAAGAATATTTTTTAATAGGCATCCTTTCTTAGAAATCTGAAAAGTATTCCGTAGTAATAATTAAACCAGTAGTTATAATACTAAGGGCCGGTTTCTCGTTCGTTTGTTAAATTTAAAGTAGGGTTAAAACCTTGAAATCGTATGGGAAATCAGAGATTTAACCCTAATTTAAATGTATCGGGAGGACGAGAAAACGGCCCTAAAAGGGTTAAAATCGTGCATACTTACTGCTTAATTTAATTATCCTTTTTAATTACGAATTTTCGAGAATCATTCCATTTTAGAAATGTGTGCAAGTTTATAACTTTTATTAATTGGTTTATTATCTTTTTTCTAGACAAGGCCCAGCCTGTTCTGACCAATGATCAGCTTATTGAGTCCTTGGAGCACACAAACTCCTACTGTCTGCAGGGCATTCAGAGCAATCAAAAGACTGGAAGCGATAAAGAGGCCAATGAAATGTGTGTTGAGGAGGTGCCTGGTCTGGAGTCAGTTGTGGGCGTGCTAGAGGAGGTTCTCATGTGGCCATCACGGGTATGTTGTTTATTCAAATACTGTAATATTTAATTTTATTTAATAACTGTGTTTTTCCCTTTAGTATCCCACCATTTTCAATGCATCACCCCTGCGCAATCAGGCCGGAGTGCTTTTGTACGGACCACCAGGAACCGGTAAGACCTACCTGGTCTCCCAGTTGGCCACATCGTGGAACCTGCGCATAATTTCCGTCAAGGGCCCCGAGCTTTTGGCCAAATACATCGGCCAGAGCGAGGAGAATGTGCGCAACCTGTTTAATCGAGCCCGCAGCGCTCGGCCGTGTGTGCTCTTCTTCGACGAGTTCGACAGTTTGGCGCCGAAGCGTGGTCACGATTCTACGGGGGTCACAGATCGGGTGGTAAATCAACTGCTTACCGAACTCGACGGCGTTGAGGGTCTGCAGGGAGTCACCGTCATAGCAGCGACCTCTAGGCCAGAACTGTTGGATCCGGCGCTCCTTCGATCCGGTCGCATCGATCGTCTTGTGGAGTGTCCTCTGCCGGATGCAATGGCTCGGGTACGAATCTTCGAGGCACTCAGTTCTACCCTCAGTCTCGATGAGTGTGTAGATTTTGATTGGTTTGCGGGAAGAACTTCAAACTATACCGGCGCCGATATCCAGAGCATTCTGACTTCGGCAAACATGGCAGCTGTTAAGGAGGCGCTAGCTCAGTTTGGACACGAGGTAAGTTGGAAATGTTTTCAACCGGAAACGATCTTAGTTATTGGATGTTCTTGGTGGACACGTCCATACCCTTTTCCCCCGAGTTCCGATTATCTTTTTATCGTGGTAACAAGTGCAACCGAAATTCAACTATTTTTGAGTGTTCGTACGTGTTCGGTGTTTAAATAACAGTTTAAAAATATTTTACTTCCGGCAACAGGGATCACGTAACATTCACATATTTATTTTCCAACTTTAGTCCTTACTCCCAGGCGAGCAATAACTTCCGACGACTTTATAAAATTACATAAATTTCTCTATTTGCCTCCCTAGAAACTGCCAAAGAAAATCTCGCTGAAGCAGAAGCACCTTATCGAGTCCTTCCAATCCACTCGACCCTCGCTCAGCGCCTCTGATGTGGCTAAATATCACAAAACGTATGTACCTATACCTTGATTGTTTATATTTATTTTACTTATTTTAAATATCTCATTGCAGGTATGCTCGCTTTACCAACAAGGAGAAGACATCCAGGGAGTTTGTAGCCAAGCGCGCGACCTTGGCTTAAAGACAAAGACTTAATTAGCTTAGCATTACAATTATCTTTAATTATATTTCGCATCTTGGTATATCGACAACACTTTGTTGGCAGGCACAAGTCTATGGGTAGTCCATATTTCATAGCTCTTTTTGTTGAGAAATAAAAAACGAATTTGTTTTAATAATATCGCGATGATCACTTGATTTTAGTTTGTATGAAATTTTTAAATTTGGATAATGCCATTACCGCTGCAGAAAGTATTTCTGACTTTATCCACCATTAATTTAATAATTTAAAATAGAGGTTGATAACATTAAATATGGATTAGTGAATGAGTAGAGTGAGATTCATAAATTCGCTACTGGTGTAGGCGCCGATATCCGGAGCAAACCGACCTCGGTAAACATGACGGCGGTTAAGGAGTCCCCGGCTAAATTAAGACGTCAGGTGAGTTGGGTGCTGTATTCACCGGAAGTTGTACTAAGCTATGCCAAGTTCTTGGTAGCTAGGTTGGACAGTTAGACAATCCCTCCCGATTTTCCTACCGTTTTCGTTTTTGTTCCCATCGCACCAGCAAGTGCATTGATAATGCATTTAACTATTTTTGGGTTGTTTACGTGCCTCGCATCTGGATCAGGACTTGGACCTATGTATGCGGGAGCTAGTTGTTGCCACTTCCAGAAACTGAGATTTTTGGATATCAGTCACGTAACGGATATTTCCTTATTGATATGCGATTACCGCGCATGCGCACGTACTGCACACACCACTAAGACAATGGACACATTTTCTTTTGCATAAATTAAGCCGCCAAGCAAACAAACAGGGAGGGAACCCGAAGGCCAGATAATAAAGAATTTCAACGAGTCGAAGCCACCGCAAACATGCTTAGAATAAAACCAACAAGAACCCAGCAGCAGCAATAAAAAGAAAGGAAACCGCTGAGGAGGAAAACTACCAGCGAAAACAATTGCAACATGCGGGAGGGAGACCACCTCGATCAGGTAGCTATAGCCGATACGATCCCATCCCATTCCATTCCATCCGCAGCACAGACCCTGTGCACAGGATCCTAGCAAACATTATCACTGAGAACCGCAGACCCGTTCGATTCGGATCGGTCCGATCGGGCACGTTCGGCTGGTGCCTCGTAAAAGTTTCTTCCGTTCGATCGTTACTTTCAGTTGTTTGCGCATATTCAAGCCAATCGGTTGGCTCCGCTCGATTCCTCCCACAAAACTTTACGGATTACGGTTAGTGCAACGGAAGTGGACCCTTCACCCTCCATATATTTCCCTTTTTTCCCTGGCGAATAACATTAAAAGTTGGCAACGAAGCGGAAATGCAAGGCGCCTTGCCCTCTCCTCGAGATTTAAGATTTTTATCCAAGCCCCATCCGCGATTGACAGCCGAATAAACATGGTGACAATGTTTTTTTGTTGGGCTCATTTGACTGCCCCAGCTCCTCGCAAATAAAAGACAAAGAACGTGATTTTTGGTCAAAGATTTGGGGTTGCGGCATGGCAGAAAAGAATTGTGTTCCCACTGGGAGTGACAAGCAGCAGTAAAACAAAAATAAAGTCGAAAAAACAATTTAAGAGAGAAATGTTCCAGAAGTAAAATAAATACAAATCATGTCAAGTGCAGCCAAAAGTTCAAAATCAACCGAGAAATAAAAAACCAAAAAGCCAAATGTTGGGAATAAGTCACTAAGTGAAGACAAAGAAATAAGATAAATAAATTAACACAAAAATCATCGAATAATAAAAGTTAAAAATTATAAAAGAACACAAGAAAAAATGCATATAATAGCTTCATAATTCAAGCGACAAGAATCCCCTTTGACAAAACAGGAAACAAACATATTAATGTGATTTCAAATTGAATAATAAATAATTTGGCCAAATAAAGAATATTAACCTATAAATAATATGCAAAATTCCGAATGACAAATTCGCTAAGTAATTCTGTCCTCAAAATAGCTGAAAGACCAAGTTGAAATGTCAAATCGGGTATAAGAAAGATTCATTCGCTCGATAATAATTCACTAGATAAAAAGGTGTGAGCTAAACGTTTTTGGCCATGTGCGCTGGCTTCGAATCGAAAAATATTGAATGACTGACAAACTGGAAAAAAAAATTAAATAAGAAAAGCAATAATACATACTTCAAATACAGCGATCGACTCGTATTTGGCAACAAATGAAAAAAAAAGGAATTGAATAAATTAAAACCTGCGACGCGTGTGCATACATACATAAATCGGGCCTGAAGTCAAACGGCTAGCGGCAATATCGGCCATAACAAAAACAACAATTACTGGTAGCACTAGCACAATATTACCAACAACAACAATGACAATCGCAACGGTTGTCTCAAGCCTTACAAACAATAAAATACATTTCATTAACGGCACAGTGGCTTGAAAACTTCTTGGTTTTTAAGTGATAAGCTTTAAAAATTTTATAAATATAAATTTGTATAGTATGGGTACTTCCTTAGAGCCTATGTTCTTGGGTCGGCTAAAAACTGTGATATAGGTGGTCTACAAAACATGCATTCACACTGTTAATATGACTGGGGATTTACCCTAAACTTGCATTGCCAGTCAATAAACTTAAGGGGGTTTTACATATAGAAAACAAAAAAATTAAAATTTTTTTTATTATTTAAATTGGTAGTATAACTCTTTAAGAATGTGTCACCACCACCTTCATTGTGCAGTAAGATATATTTCATTACTTTAAATGCGTTTTTCTCGAAACCATGTTTTTCTCAGCTGCGGATCGTGTATCTAAAAAAGTAATGCTTCGATCATCATGCTGCTTTTACGGAAATGTTTGTAATGAAATTGTCCACTGTCTGAACCTACTTTATGTAGAAATTTGTACGTTGAAGTATTTTTTGTAAAGCAAAAACAACAAGAAAAATAAGAAAAACATTTTTTTTTTACTTTAAAAGAGTGCCCCAACCAGAGTCTTTGAGATATTCTATGTAAGTTAGGTTCAGACAGTTTGTACATTATTTCTCAAGAAAATAAATTTGGTTTCACAAAAATCGGATCTACACAGCGACCTATATACGATCCGCAGCTGGCCTACCTTTTTTTCAAAAAGGCCTGACAAAAAAATTCCCACGGCCGCCATTTTAAAAGATACAAAAAAAAAATAAAATTGGTCTAACTTATATAAGAACTATGTAATGCCAAGTTTCAAACTTCCAGCACAAACCCTTATCGTTTAGTAAAAATCATGAAAATCTTGACAAATTTGCAGTTCTATATGTATCTCCCCCCTTAAATAAATCGTTGTTTATTTGGTAAACATTTGAGGGCTGTAAATAATACACTTCCTTTCAATACAATATGTTACTTGTTATTGATAAATCGTTAAGCATTTAATATTATAATGGAATGGAATGGAATATATGTATATATATAAATAATTATTTCAGCTGTTTAAACTACCTTTTTCTAGTTTTATCATACAAAACAACACTTACTCCGAAGAACTATAAGTTTTATAGAGCATTCAAAAGTTTATTCAGGTGATATTTCCAAATGTATGGCATCATTTTGGAATTCCTCGATTTGCGGTTGCCAATTTTAGCACCTTAATTGTTTTCCTTGCAAATGCAACTAGTTAAAAATAACTGAAAAGTGTCAAACCACTGTACCGAGTGATTTCAACAAATTGTCAAGTGATTTTCTAACTGTTCGGCGTTTTTTTGAATGGAAATCGAGAAGCGCATGCCGCACCAACAACAGCATTTGGCGAATGTCGAATATAGACAAGTTATAATGGAGATCCCCTTTGGGAGTGGGTGGCGACGAGTGTGTCCGGCAATCCACTGGCTTCGACCACGTCTTTAAGCTCATTACAGAGGCAGGGCACACAGTCTTCGTTTTTTTCTGCTGCTTCTCCTTTGGATTTTTGCATATTGGTGCGGACAGACTTGACTTGGCTGTGTGCCGTGTTGGCAATAAAATATTAAACAATAATAATAAATAAATAAAATGACACAGAGAGGCAATTGAAGAGCCGATCACGAGAGAGAATGAACCGGAGATTTGGCAATATTTATTGCTCCACTTACAGTTGCGGTTAAAATAATGGGACAGCCAGGGAAATAATAATTATAATTAATCATACAATCGACTTTTATTATATTTTTTAAGTAATTTTTTTTTAAATTTAATTTACTTTATTTTGACTTTTACTTTTAACAACGCAACTAATTTATATTATATTATTTTAATATTTATTCCCAAAGCTGGAGGACGCTTCAATTAAAAACTGCGGAATTCGAATGAAGATACCCTGGAAGTGATATTATTCTGACCGACACTGTAAATCAATACATGTTCGTGCCCATCTAGATACGATCTCTTGGTGGCTGTTGAACTCAAGAGAATCCACTTGAACCATGGCAAAAGTGCCGATCACGCTGATGATCATTGCGCTCGTCTCCGCCTCTCCGGACCTGGGATGCGATTTTGGCCATCACCGCTGCTACATTGATGTCACTGCGGAAAACAGTCCGCGTCAGCAGCACCTCCTCTCCGACATGGACATCACGTTGCAGTGCAGCCGACCCCTGGCCAAGTGGTACTATCAGGATAGATTTCAACTCAGGGCGCCCGTCTTGCGCCTGGAAAGAGCCCAGTCCGGGAATTCAGGCAACTATGGCTGCCTGGATGGCCAGAAACGATGGTACAACATCTCCCTCCTTGTGGGCCACAAAGAGGCGGTTGGCAATGACATAGCCAGCTTTGCCCAGGTGGAAGCTGCACCGGCAATCCCCGAGGCGGATCTCTTCTTTCAGCCCTTGAATGAAAGCCGCACCCTAAAGCTGTTACAACCTCTTCCCAAGACCGTCCAAAAAACGGCTGGTGGTCTCTTCCAGCTGAGCTGCAGTCCCTCGGACCCGGAGGCAACCGGTGTGAATATATCCTGGCTACACAATGATACGCAAATCCTGGGTGGTCGTGGCCGAATTAAGATCAAGAGGTGGACACTGACTGTGGGACAAGTGCAACCAGAGGATGCCGGGAGCTATCACTGTGAGCTGTGTGTGGAGCAGAACTGCCAGCGGAGTAATCCCACCCAGTTGGAGGTGGTAAGCAGGAGTCACACAGTGCCCGTGCTAAAACCGGGATATCCGCGCAATGCCAGTATTGCCCTAGAGGATAACGTAAGCATTGAGTGTCTCCTGGAGGATTCCACCCTGGAGCCGAAGATCACGTGGCTGCACAAGGAGACAAAGGACAACATCGACGGTGTTCTACAGCAGCTGAGAGAGCAGCCCCAGCTACCTGCAGACCTCACCCGCCTGATAACCCGAATGGACGAGCCACAGGTGCTGCGTCTGGGAAATGTCCTCATGGAGGATGGCGGCTGGTACATCTGCATTGCCGAGAACCAGGTCGGGCGCACGGTGGCGGCTGCCTATTTGGATCTGTACAGCCCTTTGGAAACCACCTCGGATCGCGGAACCACTAGCACCACACCAAGTACTCCCACACCCACTCCATCCAACGGAGAAGACAACGATGAGGAGGTTGATAGTGCGGATACTCCTGTCGGTGAGGGTCCGCCCGTGTTCAGAAAAGAACTGAGACGATTGCAGCACTCGTTGTCTGGAAATACCGTGACCTTGGCCTGTCCGGTGTCCGGCAGGGCGAACATCACGTGGACCAAAGACAATAAACCTTTAAACCGCGAGCTTGGCGTTTATGTCGCCAAGAACTGGTCACTGCGTTTCGTGGAGGCCACCAGCGAGGATTCGGGGAAATACACCTGCAACGTGTGCAACGCTTGGGGCTGCATTCAGTTTGACTTCAGCGTTCAGATAAACGATCGCACCAGATCCGCACCCATAATCGTGGTGCCACAGAACCAGACTGTGAAAGTAAATGGCAGCTTGGTGATGAAGTGCACCGTCTACTCCGATCTGCATCCCACAGTCAGCTGGAACAGGGTTGTCCTTAGGAACGCCTCGCTGGACGGGCTGGGGTCTGTACAGATCCAACGTCTCAACTTTACCATGATAAACGACTCCGTGGTGTTGGAGCTGCGCAATGTGACCTACAGCCAGGAGGGCTGGTACACTTGTCTGGCGTCTAGTGGTCTCGGCAGGAGCAACTCCAGTGTGTACCTGAGAGTAGTTAGTCCTCTGCCGCCCTTGGAGATCTACGCCCTGGTCCACGCCCATCCGCTTGGGTTTACGCTAGCTGCCATTACAATTGTGGCTCTGTTCCTCTTGGGCAGTGCTTTCATAACCTTCATGATGCGCCGGCTGAGGCGGGAGAAGCTCTTGAAACTCCGCATCGAAACAGTTCATCAGTGGACTAAGAAGGTAATCATCTACCGTCCAGGTGGAGACGAAGGAAGTGGCTGCAGCTCGGGTGATCTGCAAATGCCGGTGATTAGGATAGAAAAGCAGAGGACCACAGTTTCCACAACTGGAACGGGCGGTGCTGATCCCGCCCAGGGATTCAATGAGTACGAGTTTCCGCTGGACTCCAACTGGGAGATTCCCAGGCAGCAGCTCAACCTGGGTTCCATCCTGGGCGAGGGCGCCTTCGGACGAGTGGTAATGGCGGAGGCGGACGGGCTGCCCAGAAGTCCACAGCTGGCCGAAACCATTGTGGCCGTCAAGATGGTCAAGGAGGAGCACACGGACACGGACATGGCCAGCTTGGTGCGTGAGATGGAGGTAATGAAGATGATCGGCAAGCACATCAACATCATCAACCTGCTGGGCTGCTGCAGCCAGGGTGGACCGCTGTGGGTCATAGTGGAGTTTGCTCCGCACGGAAACCTCAAGGATTTCCTCAAGCAGAACCGGCCAGGTGCACCGCAGCGACGTAGTGACAGTGATGGCTATCTGGACGACAAGCCACTGATTCCAGCACAGCATCTCGGCGAGAAGGAGCTCACCAAGTTCGCCTTTCAAATAGCTCGCGGAATGGAGTACCTCGCCTCAAGACGGGTAAGTTCATGTACTGTGCTGTTGAGGATAATAAAATTGTGAGGGATAAAAAAAAAACTGATAAGAGCTTAAGAATTCTGATATAAACTTCTTATATCTTATTTGTTCGCTAAGAAAATAATGCTTTTTACTAAGACATCAAACTATAACTTTAATAATACCTTATAAAAAAAAATCGATTGGTAAAATTTACCAATATAACAGTCAAACAGTCCCCAACCACAAAATTGTCAATTTTACCAACCAAGTAGTTACTCTCACAACAACATCCTATGCCAAAACAAAATACACGTAACTATTTTTAATAGTATTTACCTTTTTTATATTTACGTAACTATCCGTATACACCCAAAAAAAAATCGATATGAAACGTAGATCGATTTTACATTTTTTAAGATCAATTTTAATTTGATATGAGGACAGTTAAATTTGACCTGGTCGAAAGGAGTATTTCATGTTAAAACGATACATGGCCATATAGATTTTACGGGAACACGCTTTTTTTTGTGTGTATGTTAATTTAATCAATCAAATTTTTTTACGAGGAGTACTCATAAGTTATAACAGTTAAATTATTTTGTTAACAATCTGAAACAACTGAAACAATCTTATTGTAATCTTCCTCTTTCAGTGCATCCATCGCGATTTGGCGGCCCGCAACGTCCTTGTCAGCGATGGCTACGTGATGAAGATAGCCGACTTTGGCCTGGCGAGGGACATCCAGGATACGGAGTACTATCGGAAGAACACCAACGGACGGCTGCCCATTAAGTGGATGGCGCCCGAGTCGCTGCAGGAGAAGAAGTACGACTCGCAGAGCGACGTCTGGAGCTACGGTGTTCTGCTGTGGGAGATCATGACCTACGGAGATCAGCCGTACCCTCAAATCCTCTCTGCCGAGGAGCTCTACAGCTACCTGATCACGGGTCAGCGCATGGAGAAGCCGGCCAAGTGCTCCCTAAACATCTATGTGGTAATGCGACAGTGCTGGCACTTCGAGTCCTGTGCACGTCCCACGTTCACGGAGCTGGTGGAGAGTTTCGACGGGATCCTGCAGCAGGCGAGCAGCAACCCGAACGACGCCTATCTGGACCTTTCAATGCCCATGCTGGAGACGCCGCCCTCATCGGGGGATGAGGACGATGGCTCCGACACCGAAACATTCCGTGAGACATCTCCGCTCAGATACCAGTACACCTATAAGTTTAATTAGTCGCTAGTCTTAGGAAAGATGAAAGAATTCCAACGAGTCAATCAGATCCCATAAAAGCTTCGCTAACCACCACTCCATTGCCTTTCACCCCTAAAATTGCCAAAGAACATTTCGCAGAAGCAGAAACATCTAATTGAGTTATTACAAATATCACAAAACTTATGGTGAAGCTGTAATCCGTTTCGAAATCTGAACTAGACTAATACTGCAACCGATTTCAGATATGCAACGCAGCAAAAAGAACGCGATTTTGGCCCTAGGACAAAGACTTAATTAGTTTAAGCACTCTCATTATTTAATTATACTTCATATGTATCTTTGTATATCAGCAATGGTTTGTTTGGGGTCTTTGGCATTTGTATATTTTATAATTTTCATGTTGAGGCAATAAAAACGAATTTGTTTAAATATACTATTGTAATTATTTATTTATTGGTCTACAATCTAGGATCTTATGATCGCTAAGTGCAAACTTTATTTCTTCGCTTTTTATCGATATCTTCACGATGGGATCCGACATTTTTGAAAAGGCTCTTCTGCGACTTAGTTTTAGAAAAATGTTAGGCCGCACCATCGGCTTGGTTTGGTGGTCTGGAGTGTTGAAGTTTGCAGGTAATGTACCAACGACCAGTTACTAAAATTTAAATCTTAGGAGGGATACAAATATACATATATGCCAAATAAATTCACGAATCCGAACTTTTTTACGCTCTGAAATTATGCTTTCCGTTCTTTTCTCCCTATATTTGGCTTATCTGTAAGCAAAACGACAACCTTTGACTCAGAAAAGTAAATAAGAGTATATACGTCTTTAGGTATACACAAAAGCCACTTCAAGTCACTGATCAGTCTGCGCTAAAATGTTAAGATTAACGTATGTTTGCCTTTGCTTACTCGCTCTCAGAGATGGGATAGAAAGTTTCGGCAATCCTTGGATGCTACATCCTTTAAGGCAGAATCCTGGCTTATCAAAAAAGCTGACGGAATACAATCAGCAGCAAAGTCGTCAGCGTTTTCTCCTCGATTTACTGCTTCAAGTGCACAAACCTTTGCTTAATGAGGAACTCCTTGCAATGGGAAGTGAACTTAACGAGGATCCAATGGAATATAAAGAAGTAAGTGCTCGGAGAAAAATTGCCAATATTCAAATTACAATTTAATCACCATACAAGTAACTGTCGAGGGTTAAGTATAGAGAGATCACACTCCACAGAGTGTCTAAAAATGATTACAATATTGATTATCTTTTCAGGGGACCTGGAGGTATATAAAAGACTTTCAACAGCGTGTGCTGCAGAATCAAGTGCCACGCCCTTTTGTCATCTTTAATCAGCTGGATGATGAAATGCCCCAGAACCTGTTGGGGATCTATCGTTTTTTGATAATGGCCCGAGACTGGTCCTCCTTCCAGCGAAATGCCTGCTATGCCAGGATACACTTTCATCCTGTGCTCTTTGTAAACGCCTTACAGATGGCAGTGGGCGACAGGGAGGACACCAAGGATCTGCGAGTGCCTGCGATGTATGAGGTGCTGCCACAGCTCTATTTCGAAAGGGAAGTGATTCTGGCAGGTCAGGAAATCGCCTGGCATCAATTGACTCCCATCAGGTTGGTTACACCGAAACGAAGGTGGAAGGATATCCTTCTGGGATTTCGGAGTCCCAGGCAACCTTGGACGGAGGAGGAACCCTTGCCAAGGGATCCTCTGATCATTGATAATGGCAGAAACTTGGCTCATCTAAGCCTCGACTTGGAGCTTAACTTACACTGGAACAATCTGATAAATCGTCTGGTTATAGCCATTGAAGAAGGAAAGGAGCGGATAAATGATCCAATTATTATAGATGGCGATCGCTTGGTGGCCTTTCGGGGACCTTTCGACGAAGTCAATTATATAAACCATCTGGCGATGGGACCACATTTTCATAATTCGCAGTTATATTTGTACAATCTACATCAATTTGTGGCTGCCTTGACAATGGAAGATATGGCAACAGGACAAAAATCGATGGATCTAATTGATCCGCCCCTGATGACAACCGGTGGCGTTCTATATAAAGGTACCTCCCTAAATATCGAAGCAGTTCAACGGATTTTAGACTTGACTACAGAAGACCTGAGAAACAAAATTGACGAGGCTGTGGAACATAATAACCATTCGGAGGATAATTTATCTATAGCGGGACAGCTGATAGCTACTAACTACCTTCATATTTGTCGCCAATTGAGCCTGGTTGTAAATGGACAAGGATTAAATCAAGCTAATATGTTGGGTTTGGCAACGGCCAACCTTAGAGATCCCATATATCGATCGCTGCTTTTTCGGTTAAATGAAATTTTAAGGAGCTATGAAAATCATGATCTGTATAACGTTGGAGAAGGAAGAGTGCTCCTAAAAATAGTTAATATTAACGTGAGTCCCCTGCTGACATACGAGGAAAATGTTGACATAGATCTCATCAATCTAATTGACCAGCAACTGCTTCAATCGCAGCGAAATAATTTACAATTCCTGCGCCGTCATCTTGTGGCCAGACAACGTCGTCTTAATCATGATCCATTTAGCATAAGTCTGGATATAACAGCACCAGTTAACTTGACCGTTGAGGCAAGGATGTATTTGGCCTTACCAAATCAAACGAAAACGCGTTTACACCTGGACAGCTTCAAATGCTCTCTAAGAAAGGGCACTAATAAATTCGAACGTCTGTTCCTATCGGCCATCACTAAACCCACTCTAAGCGAACTCTATGAGGCCGATTACCCACTAACAGAGGTGACAAGTTCCAGCCGATTTCCCCCACATCTATTATTGCCAAGAGGGACAAGGGACGGCCTCAAACTTCAATTACTTGTGAAACTCACTGCTTGGACTGGCTCGGAGCTGGAGTTTGATGGGGCGTCTGACCCTATCCTCGCCGAAACTCTGAAGGATGTGATAATCTTTCATCGCCAGGCCTGAAACTATTATGCGATTATATATGCTAAGTGCTTAAACTTCTTAATTGCTTGTAGGAACGCACTTTTATGCAGGAGAGGGTTTCATATCAATATAGTTTTCCAAGCACGCACGCAGTCATAACTAAAATGGTAAATGAATAAAACGTTAACTAATCGTAGAAAAGTTAATGCATTAATATAAATAAAAAATTATACCCTTGAAGTTTTTAAAAAATAAAAATGTAACATTTTACTAATATGTTTGTTCTTGCAGAAAATATCTCACAAATAAAAGTTTACCGTTATAATAAAGATTTGTAGGTTATTTTTCTATTTCCCTTGCGACTAAAAATATGTTATTAAACCTGATTTAAATTCTTTTCAAAATCGCATATCACTTTTCAATATAACATATCTATTTAACCTTCCTACTTTATCATTTCTAATTTTGATTTGGCATACACAAACACACAAGTAGTCTAAGTATCCTTTTTTGTTGAAAATCAAATAAATGTCTGACAAAATGGAACACAAAATAGAATGGGGACTTCGACGCCCCAAAACAGAAACTTCAAAACGAAGGAAAACGGTTTATTATACGAATGCGATGACAACAAAAAGGCATAATAGTAAAATTAAATGTGTCTATTATGCCAGGCCAATACAATGCACACATAAAACCACACTCAAACCCAGCACAACCATGTGCCATACAATCATAAATACACTGGAAAAAATAACTATCAAGGTCGACTACTATAAAACAAAATTTTATTTGTAAGATAAAGCTTTTCTATTTGGAAAACATCACAATTTATCATCAACAATTTTACCCAATAGTTGGGTCTAATTTAATTTTTCTCTTTGAAAATAAATTAATCTATAAATATATAAATATGTTAATTATTTTTGTTCCATTTCGGATTAAAATTTTTTTTGCGTGCAGGCGATGGCAACATTTGGCAGGCAAGAAACGTTTAAGGAAGGATGTCTTGCTTAGGCGGGTTGGGAAGTGTTTGAAGTGGTGGAGGATGTGGATGTGGATGTGGCTGGTTTGTCACTGGCACATTCGCATAAAAACAAATGCACACAATACGACCACCAGCAATCCCATTCAATTCCCCTAACAAAAAGCAGAGAAAAGCGAGACAGGAGTCGTCATCAAGGCGAAGTCCTCATCTGTGGGTCCAGGCCGGGAAATGGAGTCCTGGGCGTGTTTGTTCCTAGATAAGCGCAATAATATGCACGTATTTTACGGCAACTTACACACAGCCCCGCCCACTAAATCACACCACCCAACTGAACACCCATTCCGCGGCGAAATTTTCTAAGAATGCGCAAATTTAAATGCGAATTGTTTTCACTTTGTTGCCAGCGACGCTTTGCCTAATTGACTTTGTATGTGACTGCGAGACTTGGTTTTTATCCATAGAGCCCCAAAAATATAATAAGTGAAAAAATGAACTGAATAGGCGACAATCAGCATTCCTTTTTCTTGGCCTTTCTTTTCATTCTGTTTGCGCCTAATTTGCGTGTGGTTTATCAGAAAAAAGAAAGCTTCTTTCCCCACCAAAATCCACACAATTAAAAAAGAAAAACGAAAAGTTTTTTCACACTTTAGGGCTTATTAATTTTGCAATTGTTCGGACCAAATTGAGTTTGGGTTTTGGGGATGAGGCTTAGCTGAATTCTTTTGGAATTTCGCTGACCCAAGAAAGTGAGGGCATAAAAAAGTATTTAATGTAAAGAAATCCATGAAAATCTTTAAAGTCCCTTAATCTTCTTAAAAGTTAAAAAAACCTCTAAATTGTTGTGTTCTTCGCTGTTCATTTAAACTTCAAATTTTTTTAATTGGCAATTAATAAAAAATAAATATTAAAATGTTGTTATTTAAATCTTTTTTTTCTAATATAAACAAATTCTCTATAAAGCTTCTTATTGTTTCTGAACTTTTTCTGATGTAGTTTATCTTAGGTTGTTTTTCAGCTTTCCCTTCCATCAAACTTAGGGCGGTTATAAGTGAAAGTCAAGCTTAAAGGCCTTCGCTTGCAACCGTCGTTGGCCATTTCCATTCTTGTGGTATTCCTCGGGTATTGTATTTCATTTCCGTTTTCATTATTATTTGTGGCTGTCCGACTTTGACTCCAATTCCGATTCCCAGTGGCTGTTCACGCCCCCATTCTGTTGTTGTCTCCGCTGCCCCTTTTTTTATTATCGCTGCTGTCTTGGCCTTCTTTCCTTGGCTTTTTGTGGAGCGGACGAGGAGGAGCACAAGAACAACGTCAACGACGATGGCAACTTCCTGCTATCGTGCTAATTTCCGTTTCTTTATCTTGACACAATGGTGCGCATTAAAAGCACGTTGGGGAGGGGGTTTGGGCAGGGGCAGAAGCAGGAGCAGGGGCAGGACAAACTTCACAACTAAGGGCGGTTTATATGGAAAGGAGCACGGGACATCCCCCAAATCAGCTGCAGCTATGACCGCTGCGCTTTGATTTCCGCCCCATTCTAAGTGGGGATGTACTTGGCCAAGAATATGGCGATATGATATATTGACGTTAAGCGAACTGTTCAAGATATCGTTTGGTAATAAATATGTATATAAATATCCTCTTGTATAAAGTGTGAAAATATAAAATTTAATGCAAAAATGTTAACAATAAAATAATATATAAAGAAAATATTATTTTTTAGTTTAATGCAATGTGAATAAAGAAACGCAATCAATTTATATCCAAAATATATAAATAGTACTGCAGCATATTCTGTCTTAAATTAGAGGTATACCACACATTTATCCATAAAAATCTAAACTTTTCCTTACTTTTCTCACACTTTTTGTCGCCATATTAGCCGCCATTTTTGTTTTGGCTTTGTCAACACAACATTGAAACCCAAAATGAAGGAGCCATTTGAATTGGACCATAGTCCCCATTTTGGGGTGGCTTTAGGAGGCCTTGAGCGCTCTCCTCTTCCCTTTCCCTCTCTCTCTCGCTGATTTGCTGTCCCACTCTTCAGCCAAGCAGGAGGACTAAAATTTGCATTCAGCAACATGAAGAAAATATTGATAAATGCCCGCCATTAAACGCGATTAACAATTTGAATTATGTGGCAAAGCCAAATTTTATTGCCAACACAAACAGCCACAACAAAAATTCTATGGCCAAACAAATGGCATCATTATTAAAATATATACATGTGCGTACACCGACCATAATTTCCATAGATTATTTAAGCGCGAAGTAGACGCGTATTTAAAACAACATTTTGGTTGATTTCTTTTTTTTTTTGTTATTTAGGTAGGCACGTTCAAATTCTGTGAATGCAATTGCGCGAAAGCGAAAATGATTGGCAATTGTTTGGGTTACCATTCAGTTCCACTTTTCGGCAACAAAAGCCTTTGGTGACTTAATGCAATTTTAGTCTAAACAGTTGCCATCAAAATTTTCAATGAATTGCATCAATTGCCGGTCCATTGTTGGCGGTCCCTCAATACGATTATTTTTTATGTCCCACCGCCCTTGTTGTTGCTCTGTTTGCAATCGAGTGGGCGTGGCACGCTGCACACGACCCAATGGAGTGGGCGGTTGGGCGGCGAAGGGCGGTTTGGGTTTGGGTAATAAAATAATTGCAGCGCACGTGTCAAAAATATTCAAAAAGGCTTAAGAGCGATTGTCCCGGGGTAGTGGGATTTTGGTGGAGGGAACCAGACCAGGAACTTCCAGTGCTGCATGAAGCGGTTTCCCTTTCGTGGTCCCATCATATTTGTATTATTTCTTTCCTTTTTTGTGTGTTGTGTCCAACTGATTGCATAAATTGTTGTGGAATTTCATCAACTTGATGGACCAAGTCTTTTTACAAAGGGTGAGTGGGAGGACAGGCAGAATGCGGTTAGAGTGTGACACTTTTGTTTTCAATGGGAACTGGACTTCTAGCAAGAAGTGTATTATATTAGTACTTCATTTTCACGTTGCCTTAAAAAAGAAAATCAAATCAATCAAAATAAAGCCAAGTCGTATATATTAATAAAAACAATTTAAAATATATTTTCTTTAAAATTTTTAAGCGGAGGTTTTAAGGATTTTTTATAAAGTAAATATTCTATTTATAAGTTAATTTTATGTTAATGTTTTTAGAAAAATGTGTTGGTAACATTAGAAAAGTAGATATTTATACCCGTTACTCGTAGAGTAAAAGGGTATACTAGATTCGTGCAAAAGTATGTAACAGGTAGAAGGAAGCGTTTCCGACCCTATAAACTATATATATTCTTGATCAGGATCACTAGCCGAGTCGATCTATCCATGTCCGTCTGTCTGTCTGTATGAACGCTGAGATCTCGGAAACTATAAAAGCTACAAGATTGACATTTTGCATGCAGATTCTAGGAGTTCTTACGCAGCGCAAGTTTGTTTCAAAAGGGTGCCACGCCCCCTCTAACGCCCACAATCGCTTGTATACGATTTTAAAAATTTCAATATTTCGGAAAAGTAAAAATGCAGTTTTATGGTGTTTATCAATACCTATCGAAATGTAAAAGAAATTTTTTAAATCGGACCATTCGTTAAAAAGTTGCGGATCAAAGTTTTTATCTCCTTCGCACTTCCTTTACCTGAGTAACGGGTATCTGATAGTCGGGGCACCCGATTATAGCGTTCTCCCTTATTTTTAATTTACTTTTTAAAAATATCTTGATAACAAAAAGTAAGCGCTTACTTTATTAGTTATCTGAGATTTCGTAAAAACAAAAAGCAATACCTAAATTAAGTAGACTAAATACAAGCAAACAACCAATCGAAATAAAATATAAAAAAAAATTAATTTTATCATTCGAATTTTTGGAAAATATTAGAAAGAGTATACAATTTGAGTTGTTTTTGAAACAAGAAGATAGTGGCTTTTTTGTGTGCGTGTCGACGGCTTGAAATTTGTTTTGATTTGCAACAAATTTGCTCTAGCATTGTGAGTGTTTCTCTGTCTCTGGGCAGAGCGTTTTATTGCTTTTCACTGTCGCCTCTGGGT